CTGTTTATATGGTACTGAGGCATTGAACCCAGGGCTTCATGCATGCTAGGCAAGCACTCTACCACTAGGCCACATTCCCAGCCCAACAAGTGACTTTTAACTGCAACATTATCAATAAAGAATTCTCAAAACAAAGCCAGCGCCAGTGGCTCACATCTGTAATCCTAACTACTCAGGAGGCTGAGATCTAAGGATCTCAGTTCAAAGCTAGCCTGGGCAGAAAAGTCTATGAGACTCATCTCCAAATAACCACCAGAAAACTGGAAGGAGCTCTGTGGCTCAAGTGGTAGAGCACTGGTCTTGAGCTGAAGAGTGCAGGGACTGGGGCTGGGAAGGTGGCTCAGTGGTAGAGCGCTTGCCTTGCATGCATGAGGCCCTGGGTTTGATTCCTCAGCACCACACAAGCAAAAAGAAAAAAGCTGGAAGTGGCACTGTGACTCAAGTGGTAGAAAGCTAGCCTGGGAGAATGCTAGCCTGGAGCTGAAGAGCTGAGGGACAGTGCCTAGGCCCAGAGTTCAGGCCCTATGACTGGACCCAAAAAAAAAAGAGAGTGCAAGGACCACACACAAGCCCTACAACAGAAAAAGAAAAAAGAAAAAAAAGAATGATCAAAACAGTAATTTGTTAAAAAGGAACTTGATTAGAAAATGGGCAAAAGGCATTAATATACATTTTACTGGCAAGGGTATATAAATCTCAAATGATAAGGAGTTGATAATCATTAGACATGAAACCACCGAGATATGCATTAAAGCAAAAACAGTTACATCAGATATTGTCAAAAATATGAAAAGGGCTGCAAAGGTGGCTTAGTGGTAGAGTGCTGGCCAGCATGCATGAAGTCCTGGGTTCAATTCCTAAGTACCACATACACAAAGAAGGCAGGAAGTAGTGCTGTGCGCCTCAAGTGGTAGACCGCTAGCCTTGAGCAAAAAGCAGCCCTGGGACAGTGCCCAGGCCCTGAGTTCAAGTCCCAGGACTGGCCAAAAAAAAAAAAAAAACAACAATCTCTCATTTGTAACGTCTGTGCAATGTAAAAAAGACTCTAGAAAATACTATAGCAACAAGATAAAAACAAACAAGAAATAAACAAGCCCTAAACATATACACATAATATGACCTAACATTCCTTGGAAAAATGAACACTTGTCACCAAACAAAAAACTGAACAGGAATGTTCATAGACACTGTCTACATGACAGCCTGAAACTGCAACCAACCAAGTAGGTAAATGGTTCCATAGAGGAATCACAGTACATGCACACTATCAAATCCTAACAATCACAGAAAAGAAGACATCTATTCACATACATACCATGTGGACAGATCTCACCGACATCATCCTGAAGGAACAAAGCCAATCTCAAAAATATTATATATGGGGGCTGGGAAGGTGGCTCAGTGGTAGAGTGCTTGCCTTGCATGCCTGAGGCCCTGGGTTCGATTCCTCAGCACCACATAAGCAAAAAGAAAAAAGCCGGAAGTGGCGCTGTGGCTCAAATGGTAGAGCACTAGCCTTGAGCTGAAGAGCTGAGGGACAGTGCCCAGGCCCAGAGTTCAGGCCCCACGACTGGACCCAAAAAAAAAAAAAAAAATTACATATGGTATCATTCCATTTATACAATATTTTCAAAATGACAAAATTAGAGAAGAAATTAGTGGTTGCCAGGAAGGATGAGGAGCCAGGGAAAGGGTCTACAGGTTATAAGCAGGAGCGAGAAAGGGAAACATTTTTCTGCCAAGGGCCTTTTAGATGTTATACCATCTTCACAATGCTGCACAGAACTATCAGTCAAGTAAGACTGGCCCAGAAAAACACTTCTACCGAGGATGTCAGAAGGTGAAAAGCGTGTCTGTCTGTCCCATCCTATATCAAATGATCTAGAGAGCCTTGCACGGCCAGTGTCCTGGAAGTCCACCCCTGCCTGCCTGTGAAGGGAAAGGGATCTCTGTGGAGATACAATAGCCATTTCTTGGCTGCACTGGTGGTTTCACTAGAGCACATGTGACACAACAGCACAGAATACACATACACTGTACCATGATCAGTGACTGATGTTGGTATTACATAATATTTCTTTAACATGGAACCTTTAAGCCAGGCACTGGTGGCTCCTATCTGTAATCGCAGCTACTCAGGAGGATGAGATCTGAGGATCCAAGTTCAAAGGCAACCGGGGCAAGAAAAATCTGTGAGACTCTCATCTTCAATTAACCACAAAACGCAGGAAGTAGAGCTGTGACTCAAGTGGTGGAGCACCAGCTTTGAGCAAAAGACCTCAGGGATAGTGCCTAGACTGGAATCAAGCTCCCATAACCAGCACAAAAAAAAAAAAAAAAAAAAGATGGGTAAGAACTGCTGTTATTACAATATTCTGTGAATCTATATGTCAAAATAAAAAGTTAAGTTTCCAAAAACTTTGAGTATAAGACCCAGAGGATATGAGCATAAGACCCAGAGGATAAAGGTAAGAAGACAGCTAGGGTGAAAAGTCTGGGAGATTTCATCTCCAAAATAACCAGCAAAAAGCCAGGTTGGAGGAATGGCTCAAGTAGTAGAACACCAGCCATACAAGCAAACTGTGCACAGTTGAAAGCCTTGAGTGCAAACCCCAGGCAAAAACAAGAATACATCCACTGTGATGATTAGAGTTGTTGCAAGGACAAAGCATAGTAAAATAGCAAAAGTTTGTTTTAGCTAAGTGCCTACCATGAGACAAGCACTATTTTAAGTACTTTTCATATTACCCCATTTAATCTACATAACTACCATAAAAATTAAATACTACAGAACCCCAATACACAGAGGAAAAGTCTGGAGATGACAGGGAGGTTTAAAGTAATGACGTGGTAGAATCATGATTTAAATTCAGATTAACTCCAGAGCCATACCTCCTGCACAAAACAACAGCAAAAATAAACACATTCAGAACAAGAAGAAAGTATCAGTCTGGGCAAAAGTTTGGACTAAATAACAATGTACAACCAGTTTGGGTTTTATATAAGGATTCAAAATTCCTAAAATGCCAGTATGCACTATCAGATATATAAAGTACTTCAGTATACAATTTTTCCCAAATGCTTCTAACAGGGAGCCCTTTTCCCCTAGAATATATAACTCAACAATCTCTCAGACAAAAGCTAATGTTTTCAATGGCCTGCCTCAACCCATTTCTCTTCTTCATATACTGGTCATAGGTGGCCAATTATAAATTCGAATAAAATATTCAGGTTCTCAATCATATTTGCCACATTTCAAGTCTGTTCAAGAACCACATATGGCTACCATATTGAACAGCATAGACACAAAATGGAACATTTCCATCATCTGAGGAATTCTATCCACCAGTACTGGATTAGAGACTTGGTTTTGTTTCTTTTGAAAAAAGAACACGGAGCCAGAATTAGTACACACCACTGCCACATCGCCCAATAAAGGGGTTTAGGTCAGAGATCTTTGATGATTTCTAATCAGCTGCTGCAATCTAAAAAAGATAAGTGGAAAAAATGAGTATGGACAGAAGAAAAATCATGCGGCTTAAGAGAAAGGGTGATCTTGGATTTAGGACTCTGGCTCGGTATTCCTTACTCTGTCAATGATTCATGTGAAAAATGTTTTCACTGCTGGGTGCCGGTGGCTCATGCCTGTAATCCTAGCTACTTAAGAGGCTGAGATCTGAGGATCATGGTTCAAAGCCAGGCCGGGCAGGAAAGGCTGTGAGACCTTAGCTCCAACAAACCACTAGAAAACCAGAAGTGGCACTGTGGCTCAAGTTGTAGAGCGCTTGCCTTGAGCTGAAGAGCGCAGGGACAGCGCCCAGGCCCAGAGTTCAAGCCCCACGACCGACCAAAAAAAAAAAAAAAGTTTTCACTTTATACTTGGTATTGCGACTTCACTTACACAGGTCTCTTCACCATGCTGGGCCTTGTTTTTTTCTTTTACCACACAAACACACGATCACTCAGATTCCCTTGCTCTCCACAGGAGAGGGTGGAGAACAGGTGAGGGCACATGTTCCCTGGGTGACGGGACGCGGGCCTGTCAGCTGCCAGCTCTCCTGAGGACGAGATCCGGACACCATCGAAGGGTGGCCTGACTCTCTAAGAAACACGGAGATAGCCTCCCTACTGGAACCAGCACACAAAAATGCCGGTTAGAACTGAGTTAAGACCTCAGAGGAGGAGCCCTCAGCCGTAGCCACCTCGTCGATGGTCTCGAACAGTGTTAGTGTTAATGTCAGTGGTCACACACAGTGTTAGTGTTAATGTCGATGATCACGTGCAGTATTAAGGAGGGCGGCGCGGCTCTGGAGTCTTGAGGAGACACAAGTCACGGTAAGTCAAGTATGAATGCTAGCTGACAGATGGATGGACGGACGGACAGAGTTCCTCCTACCGACCCGAGTACTGCGGGGCCCAGGGAGCAGGGAGTCGCAGCCGGTCCCGGGGTACCAGGCCATCCCGCCGGGCGGCGCCATCTGAGTGAAGCCCGCGGGCCTCCCGCGCTCCTCCTCTGCCCGCACGGCCTTCCCCGGAGTCCCAAGGTGCGGAGGAGCCTCGCGCGCCCCGGTATCAGCAACACGGGCAATGGAAGGGGATGCAGACGGCCTCCGTCCTTGTGTCTGCGCTCCCGGAGCCCCGCGGCCTCCGGAGGAATTCCAACTCGTGTGAGCGCCCGGGGCCGACCGGGATCGGGGGCCTCGGGGGTCCCCGGGCGGGCGCGGGGGGTGGGGGGAGAGCCGGGTCCCCCGGGGCGAGCCTCGCCTTCCGCGGCGCGGAGAACCGGCTGAGTTTGAAACCTCCGGCGGCCAGGCTCGGAGCGAGCGCGGCGGGGCGGCGGACGACGCGACCCGGGGAGGCCCGAGAGGTCGGGACCCAGCGCGCCCGCCCGCCCCTCCCGCCCGGGACCCAGCGTGCCCGCCCGCGCCGCCCGCGCTCACCTCTCCGGGGCCCGCGCCGCCCGCCCGCCCGCAGCCCGCCGCCCCGCCGCCCGCGCTCACCTCTCCGGGGGGCCTTGGTCAGGGCCGCCCCGCCCGTCCGCTCGCCGTTCTCCTGCTGCTCCTGGTGCGGGAGCTCGCCCGGGCCGCCCGCGCCGGGGCCGCCCTCCGCGCCGCGGTGGTGGTGGTGCCGGTGCCGCTCCTTGTGGCCCTTGAGCCGGGGCCCGGCCGCGCTCACCGTCAGCGGCGAGAAGGTGAAGAGAGCCGAGGGCCCGGGGCCCGGGAGCGCGGCCGCCACGGCGGGGCCCGTGGGCGCCAGCGACGGCGGCGGCGGCGGCGGCGGCGGCGGCGGGAGGAGCAGCGGCTCCGCGGAGCCCGGGGCGGCGGCGGCGGCGGCGGCGGCGGCGGCCGGTGGCGGCGGCGCGGGCAGCCCGGGCGGCTGGCGGCTGCGGCGCCGCCGGTGAGGGGGAGGCAGAGGGGCGTCCTGGCCCGGCCGCCCGCGCTTCTCCTGGGCGCCCCCGCTGCTCGCCCGTCGCTGCCGCTTCACGCCCCGCGGCGAGGCCCCGCCGAGCGGCCGCTCCTTCCCGTCTTTGTCCGGCTCCTCCGGCGCCGCCGCCGCCCGCACGACGCGCACCGCTCCGACCTGCGCAGCCATTTCGCCCACAAACACACATTTAAATGGCCCGACCGCCCCCCCGTCCGCGCACCGCGCAAGCGCCGCCCGCGCACGGCCCGCTGGGCTTTGCAGTCTCTCCCCCGCCCTCCACTTGGCGGGCCTCACTGCGGAGCAGAACATGGCGGTGACGGCGGCGGCGGCGGCGGGAGAGGTAGGGGCCGACGCGGCAGCCGCGGCAGCGGCGGCGCCGATCCCCGCCGAGGCCTCTCCCCCGCCAAGGCCTTTGCGACCGCGCCGCTATTGTACTGCGCCCTGGCCGCGCAGAGCCTCCTGGGAGTCGTAGTTCCGCCGCGGCCCGGGTTCCCTCAGTGGAGGAGGAGCCGGCCTCCGCCTGTGCCGCTACGGTTCAGAGCCCTGGCCGCGCAGAGCCTCCTGGGAGTCGTAGTTCCTCCGCGACCCGGCTCCCTGAGTGGAGGAGCCGGCCTCTCTGACCGCGCCGCAATTGTACAGAGCCCTGGCTGCGCAGGGCCTCCTGGGAGTTGTAGTTCCGCCAGGACCCAGCTCCCTCAGTGGAGCCGCACCGCTATGGTTCACAGCCCTGGCCGCGCAGGGCCTCCTGGGAGTCGTAGTTCCTCCGCGTCCCCGGCTCCGTGAGTGGAGGACCCGACGGGGAGCGTGCGCCGGGTCACGCTTCGGGCTGCGACGCAACCGCCGCCGGCCCGTGAGTGGCCGCCAACCGTTCTAACGGCCCAGACAGAATTAGTGGCTTTCCGAGTCTAGCGGCGCGCTCACATTACCCTTTTCTGGTGCCGCTCGGTCACCGTACGGAGCGGGCGGTCTCCATGGCGACTGGGGTTTCCTGTCTCCCGTGTGGGCTTTGTGAGGTAAAAGAACGGCCGAGGAGGGAGCCGGGACGTCGGGCCGGGGAGAGCGACGGCGGGTTGGCGGTCCATACAGAATGCGTTCGGGGACACGGGGAGGGCGGGTGGCTTCCGGGCCGGGGGCGGGCGGGGAGGGGGGGCGGACGGGCTCCGCACTTTCCTTAGCCTCCCCTTCCCCCCCCCACCGACCTCCGCACCCCATCCCGGCCTCCGCACCCCACCCCCGGCCTCCCCTTCCCCCCCACCGACCTCCACACCCCATCCCGGCCTCCGCACCCCACCCCCGGCCTCCGCACCCCATCCCACCGACCTCCGCACCCTCCCTAACCTCCGCACTCCCCCTCCCCTCCGCACCTCCTCCGACCTCTGCACCCCCCCTCTGGCCCCTGCACACACACACCCCCCTCCATGCCTGTGGTCGGCTCTAACAGCTCTCCGGCCATCACCCCTCAGCTCAGCTCACCTCAGCTCTAAGGCCTGCACAGCTCCCAGGCTGTCACCCTTCACTCACCTCACCTCAGCTCCGCTCTAAAGCCTACTCCTGCACAGCTCCCAGGCGTCACCCCTCAGCTCAGCTCAGCTCTGAGCCTACTCCCGCACAGTTCCCAGGCTGTCACTCCTCACCTTAGCTCAACTCTAAGGCCTACTCCTGCACAGCTCCCAGGCTGTCATGGCTCCCGAGGTCTCTGGGGGATCAGTGACACTACTGGTGGAGAGGTAAGAGAAGTAAGTGTTCAAACACAAGTGTCCGTCCACCCACTGGCTGTCCACTGTAGTACCCCAGACAAGACAGCTTCTCTTAAGGTTCAGTCCCCTTCCCTAAATAAGGCATGCGGAGATAGTAACACCTCTAGGTTACAAATAAGGTGATGTTAAATCTCCAAAGGAAGTAAGGTGAATCCTGGTGGTGGTAATGACATATTTTCTTTTATTTTTGTGGGGGGGGTCCGGTCATGGGGCCTGAACTCTGGGACTCTACCACTCTCACCACAGCGCCACTTCCGGCTTTTTTCTTTTTGCTTATGTGGTGCTGAGGAATCAAACCCAGGGCCTCATGCATGCAAGGCAAGCACTCTACCACTGAGCCACCTTGCCAGCCCATATTTTCTTAAGGCAAATCCATATACATACAGATGTTTAAAGTAGCAGAACCTTTGACTGGGTATAAAGTACATGTATCTATGTAGGACATTTTTTTTTTTTGGTGTGTGTGGTGGTCCTGGGATTTGAACTCAGGCCCTGGACCCTAAGCTTTTGCTCGAGGCTAGTGCTCTACCACTTTAGCCACAAGGCCATTTCAGATTTTTTCTGAGCAGTTTATCGGACATAAGTCTCACGGACTTTCCTGACCAGGCTAGATTTGAACTGCGATCCTCAAATCTCAGCCTCCTGAGTAGCTAGAATTACAGGGCTAGGGCATTTTTCTATTCACAAAATGTTACCAGAAGCTGGGTGCTGGTGGCTTACACCTGTAATCCTAGCTACTCAGGAGTCTGAGATATGAGGACCATGGCTGAAAGCCAAGACAGGCAAGAAAGTCTGTGAGACTCATCTCCACAAAAAAGCCAGAAGTAAAGCTGAGGCTCAAGTGGGTGGCTGAGGGCTAGCCTTGAGCAAAACAGCTCAGGGACAGCACCCATGCAAGGCCCAGGGGAGTCACAAAACAAAACAGGGTACCAAAGGACAGCGGCTATTTCATTATTTTTCTAGAATTGGTAATTGAATAACTCATTCAGTTATCTGGAATGTAGATGGACCTGTTATAAGTTGGTATATCCAAATAAAATAGATTACTGATATTAGTACTTTTTATTCTCTTAAATAACATTCTTTTCTTTTTTTTTTTTGGTCTGGTCGTGGGGCCTGAACTCTGGGCCTGGATGCTGTCCCTCAGCTCTTCAGCTCAAGGCTAGCACTCTACCACTTGAGCCACAGTGCCACTTCCGGGTTTTTTCTTTTTGCTTATGTGGTGCTGAGGAATCGAACCCAGGGCCTCATGCATGCAAGGCAAGCACTCTACCACTGAGCCACCTTCCCAGTCCCAGCATTTCTTTTCTTATCTTAGTTTCCACAATATTTGAGATGACATTGGAACTTACTATAGTTAGGCAAAAATAGGGAAAGTTGGCTCATGCCTATAGTCCTAGCTACACTCACTCAGGAGGCCAAGATCTGGGGATCGCGGTTCAAAGCCAGCCAGGGCAGGAAAGACCAAGAGACTCTTACCTCCAATTAACCACCAGAAAACTGAAAGTAGGGCTGGGAAGGTGGCTCAGTGGTAGAGCGCTTGCCTTGCATGCATGAGGCCCTGGGTTCCATTCCTCAGCACCACATAAGCAAAAAGCCGGAAGTGGCGCTGTGGCTCAAGTGGTAGAGCGCTAGCCTTGAGCTGAAGATCTGAGGGACAGTGCCCAGGCCCTGAGTTCAGGCCCCACAACCGGACCCAAAAACAAAAAACTGAAAGTGGTGCTGTGGCTCAAATGGTAGAGTGCTAGCCTTGAGCAAAAGAGCTCAGGGACAGTGCCCAGGCCCAGAGTTCAAGCCCCATTACCAACAAAAAAAAAGGGGGGGGACACTTATTGTTAGGCAGTTATTTTATTCCACAACTACAAGGTAAGATTTTAAAAGAAGCTTTATACCATATTAGGGCAATGTAGATATTTTACTGAGATGTAACACTTTGCACACTTTTAAATTTTACACTCATGCTGGCCATGGTAGGGGCAAGTGTAGTCTGGCCTCAGGACGATGCACCAGGAGGATCACTTGAGCCCAGGGATTCAAAACCAGCATAGCAAAGCTCCACCTAAAAAATAAAAATGAAGGAAAGCACTAGAAAATAAAATAGAGTGACTTTCAAATTTTAGTCCAGTCGTGGGGCCTGAACTCTGGGCCTGAGTGCTGTCCCTCAGCTCTTCAGCTCAAGGCTAGCACTCTACCACTTGAGCCACAGTGCCACTTCCGGCTTTTTTCTTTTTGCTTATGTGGTGCTGAGGAATCGAACCCAGGGCTTCAGGCATGCAAGGCAAACGCTCTACCACTGAGCCACCTTCCCAGCCCTGACTTTCAAATTTTAAAATAATGCTGAGTGTTGGTGGTTTATGCCTGTAACCCTAGCTACTCAGGGCTGAGATCTGAGGGTTACAGTTAGAAGCCAGTCCAGGCAGAAAAGTCCATGAGACTCTCATCTCCAATAAACTACTCAGAAAAAAAAGGAAGTGGTACTGTGGCTCAACGTGCCATAGCACAAAAGCTCAGGGACAGCACCCAGTCCCTGAGTTCAAGCCCCATGACCGACAAAATAAAATAAGGCCATTTTAAAAGTGTTACTACCTGGTGAGTGGGGCTCACACCTGTAATCCTAGCTACTCAGGTTAAAAGCCAGTCAGGTCAGGCAAGTCCATGAGACTCTCTTCTCTAATTAACCACCAAAAAGCCAAAGTGACTCAAGTAGTAGAGCACCAGCCTTAAGGAAAAAGGCTCAAGGACAGCACCCAGGTCCTAAGCTTAAGCCCCAGAACTGGCACCAAAAAAGTGTTTCTCATAGATCATTCTCTGCATAAATTCAAGTGGCAAACTTTTGGTAGTAGTTTCTAACCCACTGAAAATAATATGAAAAAAGTTGCATCTTATCACATATTGTTTTTATGGTGAAGATATTAATGTATTAGCATATATTGGTATGAATATAGAAAACTTAGAATCAGTATTCTGGTAACTTTATTTACAGATGCACTTGCAGTCTGTGTTCTTATAAGTCCATAGTTGTATTAAACATTCCAGGTTGATGGTGGGTTCCTTGGTCCTTTGGGTTTTGAGAAACGATTTCCAAAACCTGGGAACAAAAATAAACTTCAATAAAAAGAGAGCTTTTTTTTGTATATAAATGGATAGTTGGATTTTAGAATATGTAAATATATGGATTATTTTTTAAAGTTTAGGCAGCATCTTTGATCAATTTAGTAACAGATTATAAAGACATTATAATAATTAAAGTGTAGTGATAGCAATTATATATTTGAGTGTAGGGGCAGTGTTGGGGATTGAGTCCAGCCTCATACATGCTGAGTAAAAGTGCTCTACTGCTGGGCACAGCCCAAATACAAATATTAAAAATCTATAATGCCCCACAGTATAACCCCTGCTTTCACTGTATTTGATGTCGGTATAATTTGTGGAGGGGAAGGGGAAAAACAAATCGTTTAAATAGGGATACAGGTGGACCCATTGCCACAATGAGATGTACAAGTCGTTATGTCGAAAACGAACTTTACAATTTTGGTGGGGGGGGGAGAGGGGGGGAGGAGGAGGATTGGGTGAGGGGCAGGGGGAGGATGGGAAGGGATGGGAGGAGGCTACAATGCTTGATAAGAAATGTACTCATTATCTTGCCCATGTAATTGTAATCCCTCTGTACAGTATTTTCGCAATTAAAAAAATCTGTAATGCACAGATTTTATCATGGTAATAACTGAGTGACAAGCCCCAGTTATAACTTAGTCATATCACTTATACACCTTTCTGTACACTCACCATCTAATCACAACTTTGAAAATTTTCAACTTCACAAAAGTAAGCACTGTTATTTGCACATTACTGTAAGAAATCCCAGGATTTATGGAGATTATCTTTGAAAAGCTTAGAAAAATAAACAATTCTAAAAAAGTAAGTAGTAACCAGGCGCCTGTGGCTCACGCCTGTAATACTAGCTACTTAGGAAGCTGAAACCTGAGGAACAGTAAAGTCTGTGAAACTCTTATCTCCAATTAACCACCAGAAAACCTAAGTGGCTTGGTAGCTCAAGTAGTAGAGCTGAGGGGCAACACCCAGGCCCAGAGTTAAAGACCCCACCCCACTCCCCCAAAAAAACCTAAGCAGTAAAATAACTTTTTACTTATCTTTCATCCTCAAACTCATTTCCCTCAACTCCCATACAGAAGCAAAATGAGGAAAATTTTCACAATAATGAAGTCTATTTCAGGATACTTTAAAAGATTTTCAGATTGGCTGGGAATGTGGCTCAGTGGTAGAGTGCTTTAGCATGCATGAAGTCCTGGGTTCGATTCCTTAGTGCCACATAAACGGAAAAAGCCAGAAGTAGTGCTGTGGCTCAAGTGGTAGAGCACTAGCCTTGAGCAGAAGAAGCTCAGGAACAGTGCCCAGTCTCTAAGTTCAAGCCTTAGGACCGGCAAAAAAAAAAAAAAAAAGACTTTCCAGTTGAGGACATTGAATTTTTTTTAATTCCTATTGGCAACTAGGGCCTTATTAACTGAGAAATAAAAGATGTGAACAGAGAACAGTTTCTTCATAACCTAGTAGCTACTCCCGTATTGCTTAAATCTCAACCTTCAGAAGCTATACCAGAAATGGAAGTGTAGTCTATCTAGTAGGAAAGGAGAAAAAAAAATTAAGAGGGCTGGGGATGTAGCTCCATGGTAGTGCACTTATCTAGCAAGCACAAAAACCTGATGAGGGGCTGGGAAGGTGGCTCAGTGGTAGAGTGCTTGCCTCGCATGCATGAGGCCCTGGGTTCAATTCCTCAGCACCACACAAGCAGAAAGAGCCAGAAGTGGCACTGTGGCTCCAGTGGTAGAACGCTAGCCTTGAGCTGAGGAGTTGAGGTACAGTGCCCAGGCCCAAAGTTCAGGCCCCATGACTGGCAAAAAAAAAAAAAAAAAAAAAAAAACACCTGATGAATCAAAACCACCCTAAGGGCTGGGAAGGTGGCTCAGTGGTAGAGCACTTGCCTTGCATGCATGAGGCCCTGGGTTCAATTCCTCAGCACCACAGAAATAAAAGGAAAAAAGTCGGAAGTGGTGCTGTGGCTCAAGTGGTAGAGTGCTAACCTTGAGCTGAAGAGCTGAGGGACAGCGCCCAGGCCCAGAGTTCAGGCCCCACAACCGGACCCAAAAAAAAAAATCAAAACCACCCTAATAGAGGAGGAAGGAAAAACATTTCAGGATACATAATGGCATGCCAGAGTCAAAAATCTCATTAGCCAGGTGCTGGTGGCTCACACCTGTAATCCTAGCTACTCAGGAAGCTGAGGTCTGAGAATCTCAGTTCAAAGCCAACCCAGGCAGGAAAGTCTTAAAGACTCTTATCTCTAATTAACCACCAGAAAACTCCAAGTGTCGCTGTGGCTTAAAGTAGTAGAGCACTAACCTTGAACAACAACAAAAAACCTCAGGGACAGCACCCAAGCCCTGAGTTCAAGCTCCATGACTGATCCATTCTCCTCCTTCCCCCAGCAAAAAAAAATCTCAGTGTGGACGGCTGATCCATGTCCTCATGGCCTGGGCACAGAAATGAGGACACCTGACTTTGACTGGTCAGTTCTCAAGAGATGACTCACAGAATCAGGATAGGACTGGATGTGGGCAGTGGGCGCAGTAGATGAAGGAAAAAGAAAACGGGGCGCAGACATGCCAGAACACTCAATGTACAGATGTGAAAGAGGAAGTGGAAACATGAGGCGAGTCTTCGGGGAAGGAGCAGATGGGAGGCGTGACTGGTGGAGAAGCATTGAACACTTAGATGGACAGGTTAAATTGTAACCCTGTACAACCTTTTGAAGTTTAGAAAATAAAAAGATACCTAAATTTTTTTAATTTCAAAAGGAGCAATGAACATGCAGATAAATTATTCAAATATTGGTATATTTGAGAGGAACATGATATTTATCCTTATGTCAGGTCACAGACCGTGAGTTATTTGAGTGGCATCATTCATTTAAAGCTATGAAAGAAACAGGAACTATTGGTGGTCCAGGCAAAGTTTGGAGCTTTTTTTCATAATTTCTGCAATATCCTACATCAATGCTTTCAACTAAATGTTAATTTCATAAAATTTAATTATAACTTTTTTTAATTTAATTATAACACTTTTTTTAATTATAACACTTGAAATCTTAGTGTTAATCCAAACAAACTTTTATGACTAAAGAGACAGATATTCTAGTTAAACATTTTCTCCAAGTGAGATAGAGGTTGCCGCCTCTTCTTCCTCAGAAATAAAATTATACTGGGGTTATAATATATGTCCCCCCAATTTCTCTGACAACTTAGTTATGTCTAAATTTTCTTCAGAGGAAGAAGAGCTGACTGATACTGCTACTTCCAGGCCAATGAGTAAGCCAGAAGAGGAGAAGATGGAAGCCACGCTCCTCATGTCCCCTGCCACCTGCAATCTGGCCATGTGGCAGTCTAATTTTGACCATGCAAATAAGGGTAATACCAGGGTTGGAGGTGCGGCTCAGCAGACCATTAGTCAGTGTGCAAATGCACTGGGTACCAAGTGTGTGTCCTGCTTTCAAAAAAGAAAAAAAGAGAAGGGTAACACCCTTAAGCACCACTCCCAAAAGTACAAGAGATTCCTGGGATCTCCTAGATCTTTTCACATATCTGTTTTTGTATTAACAACAATTTCTACTAGCAGGATCCTCTGTTAATTGTAGAATTCTTTTTTTTTTGGGGGGGGGGGAGGGGGGGGCCAGTCGTGGGGCCTGAACTCTGGACTTGGGTGCTGTCCCTCAGCTCTTCAGCTCAAGGCTACCATTCTACCACTTGAGCCACAGCGCCACTTCCGGCTTTTTTTTTTATGCTTACGAGGTACTGAGGAATCAAACCCAGGGCCTCATGCATGCAAGGCAAGCGCTCTACCACTGAGCCACCTTCCCAGCCCAATTGTAGAATTCTTACAAAAAATTTATAGTGGGCAGGGAATGTGGCTTAGTGGTAGAATGCTTGCCTACCATACATGAGGACCTGGGTTCGATTCCTTGGTACCATATACACAATAAATAAAATTAATAAAAGAAAGGGGAAAATAACCATTAAAGTTAAAAAAAATTATAGTATATTACTTTATATGATAGCTGTCAGAATAATGGCATCTTGAAGTTATACAAAATTTAAAATTATCACTTCGTTTATGTTTGCTATAGTTTTTGTTTTTTATGGGGTTTTTTTTTTGTGTTTTTTTGGTTTGTTTGGGCCTGGGAGCTGTCCCTCAGCTCTTCAGTTCAAGGCTAGTGCTCTACCACTTGAGCCACAGCAACACTGTAAGTTTGTTGTAGATGGGAACAAGTACCACTACATCCAAATTTCTTCATCTGGTTAGTCATTTTTGTTTACTCTACATGCCAGCATAATAATTTTGTCTCTCAGCTTTATTTTCCACATGTGCTAGACAATTCAATCCTATTTGAGATGCTAAGTAGCTGAATTTAAAAATAAAAAGATGCTAGGCACCAGTGGTTCACACCTGTAATCCTAGCTACTCAGGAAACTGATATCTGAGGATGTGGTTTGAAACCAGCCCCAGCAGGAAAGTCTGTGAGACTGTTATCTCTAGTTAATCACAAGAAAACCAGAAGTAGTGTTGTAGCTCAAAGTGGTAGAGCCCTAGCCTTGAACAGAAAAGGCTCAGGGACAGCACCTAGGCCCTGAGTTCAAATCCTACAACTGACATAAAATAATAAAAAGATAAATTGCTTGAGAAGAACTAAATATAATGACTATACCTGCAGCCATAAATAATGCTAAAGCTGTATTTCTGGTGCTATAAGTTATCCAATTCTAAAAACTGCTATAAAATAAAGCCCATACCAAAATTCAGAAAGGAACTGGAGTTTTTTGACTGAACAGATTCTGCTGGCTTGTTTGGTGGGTTAGAATTACAGATGCCTGTAATCAAAGGAAAAAATGTAAGGGAAAGAATGAATACAGATTCAGATGACTATTTATCAGATTACATAATTGTTGACAATAAACATTTTCTCCCTAGAAATTAGTACTCTCAAATAAATACATCAGTATCAAATAAGAAAATATAAGTGCTTACAAATGGGTTGACACTATAATCTCATTTGTATGTGTTATGTATGTGTTCAAAAGATTTCTTTGCAGAGGTTGAAGGCATGGCTCAGGTGTAGAGTGCCAGCCAGTCATCGTAAGGGTCTGATAGAAGTTCCAGTTCTTGAGTCAGACAAAAAGAAAAAAAATCGTTCTTACATATCTTCTGCCCCTGGGATCTCTTCATATCCCAGCCACTTTTTTTTTTTTTTTTTTTTGTCAGTTGTGGGGCCTGAACTCGGGGCCTGGGCACTATCCCTTCAGCTCAAGGTTAGCGCTCTACCACTTGAGCCGCAGCACCACTTCCAGCTTTTTCTGCTTATGTGGTGCTGAGGAATCGAACCCAGGGCCTCATGCATACAAGGCAAGTACTCTACCACTGAGCCACTTTCCCAGTCCTTCTTTTTTTGTTCTTAACATCAGAACACAGTGTGGCTGTATATGTACATACTTAGAAACATCTTTCCCTTCTAGGAAGTACTTGAGTATACATCATTAGAATACATAGTAGTTCTAGTCATATATATTAAATGAATATTTGTTGAATAGCTACTATATGCCATGTATTGGGCTAGGCATTGAAGAGACCAGGAATACAAGTGGATTAAAATGAGGAAGTTCAAGAAATTGCAGTCAACTACATGTCAATTGGGAGTTTTACACACACACACACACACACACACACACACACACACACACACACACACACACACACACACACACACACACACACACACACACACACACGTCCCTCCCAAAGGAGCATACTGCTGTTTTTCTTAGAGGAGGCAAAGGTGTGTACATACATATTAGTCTGAATTGCCTTTCTGCATATTGACTTAGATATTTGTATGCTGTGTACCCAATGTGCATTTCTTTTACTTTTACTTTTTTTTCTTTTCTTTTCTTTTTGTTTTTTTGTTGTTTCTTTTGGGGGTCCGGTCGTGGGGCCTGAACTCTGGGCCTGGGCACTATCCCTCAGCTCTTCAGCTCAAGGCTAGTGCTCTACCACTTGAGCCACAGCGCCACTTCCGGCTCTTTTTCTTTTTGCTTATGTGGTGCTGAGGAATCGAACCCAGGGCCTCAGGCATGCAAGGCAAGCGCTCTACCACTGAGCCACCTTCCCAGCCCTCTTTTCTTTTTTTGCCAGTCCTGGGACTTGAACTCAGGGCCTAGAACTGTCCCTGAGCTGCTTTTGCTCAAGGCTAGTGCTCTACCACTTGAGCCACAGTGCCACTTCTAGCTTTTTCTGTGTATGTGATACCGAGGAGTCAAACCCAGGGCTTCATGCATGCTAGGCAAGACTCTACTACTACTAAGCCACATTCCCAGCCCCGCATTCCTTCTCATAATAGAACTTTAATTTTCAATCCATCTGCCCCAGTTTTCAGTCTCTATACTTCTAGTGGAGCTAATGAATTAAATGACCAATAGCTCTTGGTACATGGTAAAGGTCTGGCCTCATTCCCAGTCAGTCCATATGCTCATGTAACAGTGGTTAAATACTTTGCCTACACTGTCCTATTGAGAACTGGTTCAAGGATGGGCAAATGAACCCCACCAATAAAATCAGACCCAAGTAAGTCTAGTCCTCCTACTTAAGCAACCAAAAAAGAGCTTGCTTTTTTTCCTTTCACATACCTGGAACCACTTGAAAACAACCTGCCTATGAGTAAAGTAGTAAAATGAAACAGCGAGAAATATGGAATAAGTGATTAGGTGCTATTATAGCAATTGATTATAGCCAGTAAACACCCCCCCCCATCTTAATCAGCCCCCAAGTTAGGTTTTCTGCCACTTGTAACTGGATTTTATTTTATTTATTTATTTATTTTTGGTCGTGGGGCTTGAACTCTGGTCCTGGCTGCTGTCTCTCTGCTCTGCAGTTCAAGGCTGGCGCTCTACCACTTGAGCCACAAGGCCACTTCCATTTATTTCTTTTTTTAAGTTATTTTTATTGTTATTATGAAGCTGATGTACAAAGAGGTTACAGTACAGGTAGTTAGTATATTTCTTTTGGAAAATGTCATACCTTCCCTTGCTCTCTCCCAGTTTTCCCTCCCATCCCCACCTACGAGTTGTAGGCAATTGAATGATTTTTGATCAATTAAAATTTCCCATCAAAAGTTGGCATCAGGCACCATGGTTAACAACCTCTACTCTTTTGAGTTATAATTCATTCTCCATACTGCAACCAGGATGACCTTTTTATGAAATAGTATGAGTGCAGAATATAACATCTTGGTCTAAAACCCAGTATGGCCTCTTACTGCACTTGGAATAAACTCTTAACATGACCTACATCAATCCACACTCTTCCCCTATCTTTCCAGCCTTGTCTACTTTTCTCTGCCCTTTACTCACTACCGTGTGCTGTGATGGCCTCCTACAATATGGAGACGGAGGTTCTATATATGGGGTTTCTTCTGGAATCATCTTCCCATGGTTTGCCTCCCTGGCTGTTCATGTCAGGTTCAGTGGTCATGTTCTTTGAAAGCGCTTCACAGACCCCTTTTGTTCTCTCGTTTTGTACTCTCGTTTTCCTTAATGTTATTTCTTGCAGTTATTGCAATGTTATTATGTATTTGTGAACTTATTGAATCTCTCACTAAACTTAAGTTCCACATACCCCTAAAAGCCAACATTTTATTTGTGTAAGTGCCTTACACAATGTCTGGCACATAGTAGGCCCTCAACAAGCACTTAATGAATGAGTAATGCAGATTACAATGAGGCTTAAATGACATAAAAATATTAATTTGTTTTAAAAAATTTTAACTGTAATCCAGTAAACATGCACTTCTCCAGTTGTATAGTGAGAGACAGAGAACACATGAGCAAGTATGGGTGTTTAGATTTAAAGCTTCAGGATCAATATGAATGGCTAGGTTTGTTCTTATGTGCAAAAAATCATAGAATCAAAGTAGTTATTAAAAAATGAAGGTAAAACCCACCTAGATCCAAGAAATGTTCTTAAAGTTTTCTCAAGGCTCTTTGTCCCTTATCTATACTGCAAGTATAATATCAACAGCTGCTTAGGCCTTTGTGATTATTAAATCAAATTATTACCATATTTTATACACTTGCTTTTTTTTTGGTCAGTTGTGGGACTTGAACTCTGGGCCTGGGCACTGTCCCTCAGCTCTCCAGCTCATGGCTAGCGCTCTACCACTTGAGCCGCAGAGCAACTTCCAGTTTTCTAGTGGTTTATTGGAGGTAAGAGTCTCATGGATTTTGCTGCCCGGGCTGACTTTGAACAACAATCCTCAAATCTCAGCCTCCTGAGTAGCTAGGATTACAGGCAGCCACCGGCACCCAGCTACACTTGCATTTATAAACAAGGATGTCTATGACAATTTCCAAAGTTTCAAGCAACTGTGGAGTTTTGGGGGAGTTTTCTTTGTTGGTTTGTTTTTTTTGTCGGTCATGGGGCTTTAACTCAGGGCCTGGGCACTCTCCCTGAGCTTTTTCACTCAAGGCTAGCTCTCTACCACTTTAAGTTATGTCTACATGTCCAGTTTTCTGGAGGTTAATTGGAGATAACAGTCTCACAGGGGACTGGGAGGGTGGCTTAGTGCTTGCCTAGCATGCATAAAGCCCTGGGTTCAATTCCTCAGAACCACATAAACAGAAAAGGCCAGAAGTGGTGCTGTGGCTCAAGTGGTAGAGTGCTAGCTTTGAGCAAAAGAAGCTCAGGGACAGTGTCCAGGCTCTGAGTTCAAGCCCCAGGACTGGCACACACACACAAAAAAGAGTCTCACGGACTTTTCTGCCCAGGCTGGCTTTGAACCATGAACCTCAGATCTCAGCCTCCGGAGTAGCTAGGATTACAGGTGTGAGCCACCTGTGGGTTTTATTTTCATTACAATATAGCAAAATAATAAAGGACAGAATTTTACTGCTAAATAGAAATGTGTTAACAATTTGCTTATTTCTTAAATCAACACATTTGTTTTACAGTATGCTTCTGCTGTGATTATGTTCAAAGAAAATAATCTGAGATCAGACTGATAGCAGTGTTAAGTAGCACACTTTAGGGCAACAAGCACTGGCATTGAAATAATGATTATGTACGCATTGCACCCTGCCTAGGTCGGTGCTGTGGAGCCTGCAGAGCATTAGCCTGAGGCTCTTCTCATCCCAGGACTCTATGGTGACTTTGTTTAGGCATCAAATTACCAATTTTTTCCAAGAGTGGTTATAGAAAGAAAAACTGCATAACTGTAAAAGTGACATCTGTATATACACATAAACTCTTTAGAAATAAGTACAAAAAAACTTACTTTTTTTCATGTTTCGCAAAATTTTCAAACTCTACAAAGTGAAGAAAAAGAAAAGAATTGAGATTTTTTTCCTATAAACTTCAAAATACTTTAATGAAATAGAAATAAAGACTTAAAAGGATTAGTTTTCTTAAAATCAGCCATGAAAATATTTCTATCTTCTATGTGCATGCGTGTGTGTATGTGTGTGTGTGTGCATGCATGCTTGTATTTCTGGGGTTTGAATATAAGGCTTTATACTTCCTAGGCAAGCACTTTCCTGATGGTTAAACCACCTCCTACCCTCCCATCTTACCATTGTTAATTCTGTTCAGAATCTCCATGTGACTCTACTTTTACTACCAGTATAAATACCACAGTACATATTTACAAATAATGCTGTCAGAATAATATCAGATTAAAAATAAAGGTCCTCCTTTGCTCTTTTATTAGGAGTACTCTAAGGGCTTGGCTCTGAATACACTATGATACACAGCCAGTTAGCATTCAAGCCAAGAAATTCATTCTGCCCATTGTGTTCCATATTTTTAGCCCCTCAACTTGCTTCTGTTTCTCCATAAACCCAAGTCTTGGCCTACGTATGGCCAAGAAACCTACCCAGATTTCTTCTTTGCTCAGCTTTCTTTCTTTCTTTCTTTTTATTTACTTACTTACTTACTTGTCATTCGTGGGGCTGAACTCTGGGCCTGGGCGCGGACCTTCAGCTCTTCAGCTCAAGGCTAGTGCTCTACCACTTGAGCCACAGCACCACTTCCGGCTTTTTCTGCTTATGTGGTGGTGAGGAATCGAACCCAGGGCCTCATGCATGCAAGGCAAACACTCTACCACTGAACCACCTTCCCAGCCCACTCAGCCCACCCCTGGTTATTTTTTTATTTCTAATTTTCACAGAGGTTTCATGTAGGTCTTCTATTCCCATAGGTTAACACTCTCTTCAAGGCAGGTAAGGTATCTTTTATAAGCTATCCATACTCCTAACACCTAACAGAAATAGAACATTCCAAGTAATAGCGTTTTTTTTTTTTGTAAAATGTTTATACTTTCACAGAATTATTTACAATCTTAAAAAAATCCCAATAAAATGTTTCAATCTTTGTCTTTCCTCTACACTGTTTCTAATCCTCTCCCATAGATAACCAGTTTCCTGAGTGTGCAGGTGATGTGAGGATGGGTGTGTGCCTGCATGTGTGCTGTACTGTAGTTTAAACTCAGCTCTTGCCTGGCTTTTTCATTCAAGGCTGGTTGGCACTCTACCACTTGGGCAACTCCTCCACTTCTGGCTTTTTGCTGATTAATTGGAGCTAAGAGTCTCACAGATTTTTCTGTTGGACTGGCTTCAAACTTTGATCCTCAGATCTTAGCCTCCTGAGTAGCTAGAATTACAAGCATGAGTCACCAGCCCCCAGCTTATTGGGCATTTTATAAATTGGTAAATAAACTTTAAGGAGAAATAAAACCATAATGTAGTAATTTTTTCATTTTTTTTTCTAATAATTTTGACTGTTGTGAGATCAGAACTAAGTTTTAGGTAAGGGATTCAATTTTCAATGTTAATTCTGAGAGCAGCAAACCTTCAATAAGGAAAACTTGAGGCAAACTTTCTAAATCTCCAGTCTGTCTTACCTTACTCCTCGTGAAACTCTTTCCAGGAGTCTTCAGTGTTTGTTTTGGACATGTTGAGTGCCCCATACTCTCAGGACAGCTAATAGTTTCTGTAGAGTGGGCCTCTATACCTGAAAGAAAAGTTTCTTAAACTTTTAGGTTTGATATAATATTTCTATTATATATTGTGGGTTTTTAATGTATTCTTTTATCATTTTTATCCTTTGTACCTTTTCTGTGTAAGTCTTACTTTACTGTTGATCTCACATATTCTCACTTTATAAGTTTTTTGGAGAGAAACTACTGCCACTTACAGTCTTCATCAGCAAGGAAGAAGGATTCCGGTGTTCTTTCTGGAAGGGGAGGTGGAGATGGAGAACAATCGCGACACAGATCTGTCGTAAGAGAAGTACACAGAAAGCAAAACATTCCAGCAGTTAAAAGTCGTAAGTCAAGCCCCTTTTGTATAATTTTTCAATTAGCCAATATTAACTGAAACCACAAAATAAAAATTATCAAAATGACCAGAACCTCAAGAACTTTGTGCTTCTTCTTTAGCAAATGAGTCTGTAGTTTATCAGGCACTGGTGGCTCATACCTGTAATCCTAATTCAGGAGGCTAAGATCTGAGGATCCACAGTTCAAAGCCAGCCTAGATAGGAAAGTCTGAGAGACTCTTATCTCCAGTTAGTCACCGAAAAAGCCAGAAGTGGTGCTATAGCTCAAGTGGTAGAACACTATCCTTGAGCAAAAGGAGCTTAGGCATAGCACCCAGGCCCAGAGTTCAACACCAGGACTAGCAAAACAAAACAAAAAAACTTCACAGAGTTCACAGATTATCAAGCTTGTAAATCTAAATACTATTTTACAGCAATCTTATATTTAATAAAGTTATGAGAATATAATTGGTCAGATCTAGAATAGTAAGCCATGTTTAGGACTTGTAAACAAAAAGAATAAATACAAAAAGAACTTAAAATATGTAGGAAACATATAAACAAAATACAAAATATAGAACTGGTTTGAATCTAAATTTAAATCATAAAAAGACATTTTTAGTCTACTGGTGAAAATTATTCACACTCTAGATACTAGATAATATTAAGGAATTATTATATTGATATGATAATGCAACTATGGTTGAGTCTGAAATGTTCCATAATATGGAAATTTAAATAGGCCAGGCTTATTAATGTATACCTGTAATCCTAGCCACTCAGAGGTATTGATCAGGAGAATTATGTATTAAGGCAATCCCAGGAAAAAGGTTAACAAGACTCTATTTCAACAAAAAAGTTGGTGTTGTAATTCATACCTGCAGTCTCAGCAATATGGTAGACATCATCAGTAGAAGGATCATGATCCATGGCTAGTTCTGGGGGGAAAAATAAGGGTGAGATCCTACCTGAAAAAAATAAATGCAAAAAGGGGCTGGGGTCATGACTTAAGTGGGAGAGTGCCTGCCTAGCAAATGCCAGGCCCTAAATTCAGTCTTCAGTACCACCAGTTTACAAAATAATAAGCCAGGCACTGGCAGCTCATGCCTGTCATCCTCCCTACTCTAAGGATCGAAGTTCAAAGCCACCCTTTGAGGGAATCTCCCTGTGAAACTTTTATCTCCAGTGAACCATTAGAAACCGGAAGTGGTCCTGTGGCTCAGAGCTGTACAACACTAACTAGCCTTGAGTGGAAACGGTCAGAGACAGCACCCAGGCCTTGAGTTCAAGCACCACGACCAACAAAAGAATAAATAAATTAATAAGATCGCCGGGCGCTGGTAGCTCACGCCTGTAATCCTAGCTATTCAGGAGGCTGAGATCTGAAGATCGAGATTCAAAGCCAGCCCAGGCAGGAAAGTCTGTGAGGCTCTTATCTCCAATAAACCACCAGAAAATTGGAAGTGGCACTGTGGCTCAAGTAGAGCATTAGCCTTGAGCTGAAGAGCTGAGGGATAGCGCCCAGGCCCAAGTTCAAGACCCATGACTGACAAAAAAGAATAATAATAATAATAATAAGGTCCTAGACGTGGCTACTATTTCTTCATACTGAAAACCCTTTCTCTTATATAATTAGTTGCAGTACTGGGCACTTTACTCCTTATCTTATTGTAACTTAGAATTTACAGGTCTACCTGCTCCAGGTGTTTCATTTTTTTGCTTTTTTTTGGGGGGCGGGGGGGGGGAGGTCTGGTCGTGGGGCCTGAACTCTGGGCCTGGGCGCTGTCCCTCAGCTCTTCAGCTCAAGGCTAGTGCTCTACCACTTGAGCCACAGCGCCACTTCCGGCTTTTTTCTTTTTGTTTATGTGGTGCTGAGGAATCGAACCCAGGGCCTCAGGCATGCAAGGCAATCGCTCTACCACTAAGCCACCTTCCCAGCCCCTTTTTTTTTTTTTTTTGTTGGTCATGGGGCTTGAAAACTCTGGGCTTGGGCACTGTCCCTGTGCTCTTCAGCTCAAGGCGAGCACTCTACCACTTGAGCCACAGCACCACTTCCAGTTTTCTGGTGGTTTATTGGAGATAAGAGTCTCCCGGACTTTCCTGCCTGGGCTGGCTTTGAACCGAGATCCTCAGATCTCAGCCTCCTGAGTAGCTAGGATTACAGGCGTGAGCCACCGGCACCCAGCTTGTGCCCAGTGTTTGAAAGGTACTCTCAATTTGTGTGAGATCAGCTGTTTTAGACTAAGTATGTGTGCTACTTGTCCTTCTGTGCCTGGTTTATTCCACTTAACATGATCTCCAGTTCCATCCATGGTTGCTGCAAATGTAAGGGTTTCGTTCCTTTTTCCTGCTGAACAGGAACAGTGCAAAACTGTACATTCTTCCTTTTCATTCTTGGTACTGAGGATTGAGCCCAGACAAGCACTTTACCAATAAGCTCCATCCAAGGTATCCACATTTTCTCCATCAGGCATCATTTGATGAACATTTGGTTTGTTCTCTTTGTCTGTCTGTCTCTCTCTCTCTCTGAGGCACTGGGGTTTAAACTCAGGGCTTTGCAGTTAGATAAACAGGTATTCTTTTGACTGAGCCACATCTCCAGCCCAGATTTTTGCTGGTTATTTTTGAGACTGGGTCTTGTATCCAGCCCAAGCACTGGCCTAGGTATCATCCACATACATTGTCAGGCTTCCAGGAAGCTAGAGTAACAGGAGCACACCATGGCACCCATCTTTGTTGAGAAGGGCTCTCAGGAACATTTCTGCCCAGGCTAGCCTCAAACCACAATCCCAACAACCTCAGTCTACCAACTAGCTAGCAGGGTTAGCCACCAGTACCCTATATGAAGTGCAACATTTTTTATTAGCATAATAATAGTAATAATACAAGGGATCTCATTGTAACAGGTTGTTTCCATTTCTTTTTTTTTTTTTTTTTGGGTCCAGTCGTGGGGCCTGAGCTCTGGGCCTGGGCACTGTCCCTCAGCTCTTCAGCTCAAGGCTAGCACTCTACCACTTGAGCCACAGTGCCACTTCTGGCTTTTTTCTTTTTGCTTATGTGGTGCTGAGGAATTGAACCCAGGGCCTCAGGCATACAAGGCAGGCGCTCTACCACTGAGCCACCTTCCCAGCCCCTGTTTCCATTTCTTGCTATTGTAGATAGTGCTGCAATGAACATGTGATGTCTCTTTACAGTTATCATTTCCTTTGGATAGATACCCAGGAGTTGCATCGCTAGATCATATGGTAGTTCTATTTTTAATTTTTTGTGTGTTGCCGATCTCTGAGCTGCTTTTTGCTCAAGGCTAGTACTTGAGCCATATCACCACTTCAGCTTTATTTTGTGATTAATCAGAGATAAGAGTCTCACAGACTTTCTGCCCAAGCTGGCTTCAAACTATGTAAGGTCCGCTCCTGGATGTCAAGAAGACTCCACCCTCCTCCCAGCAAAGTCTCCGCCCAGTTACCTGCGTTACCTAAGCAACTGGGACACCTGGAAAAGGTCACATCTTCATCCACTGAGGTCACATCTGAATTTGATGTGGCCATACCTTTCTCCGCCCTTACCCTAGATAAGGCCTAGCCCAGGCCCAGACTCTCTCTGTGCTCTTTTCTAGCTCTTTCTCAACTCTTTCCTCATCTTCTCTTTCCCAGCTCTCTCCTCTTTCCTAGCTCTTCTTTCCCACCTTTCCCAGATGCTTTCTCTCTCTGCTCTTTTCTAGCTCTTTCTCAGCTCTTTCCTTCTCTTTCCTAGCTTGCTCTTTCCCACCTCTTTCCCAGATGCTCTCTTTTCTAGCTCTTTTCTCTCTCTCTTTCCCAGATCTCCCAGCTCTCTTTCCCAGGCCTTTCCCCACTGCGTGGAGGGCCAACCTGGCCTGGTCCAGCAGGTCTACTAATAAACCTACCCCTTACCTGAATACCACATGCATGATTGCTGTTCTTACTCGGCTACCTCTTTTTAAAAACCTAACACTGTAAGCCTCAGGTCTCAGCCCCCTGAGTAGCTGGAATTATAGGCATGGGCCACTGGCACCCAGATATTTTGAGACAGGGTCTCCATATGTAGCTCAGACTAGCCTTAAACTCTGGATCTTCCTGCCTCAGCCTCCTGAGGACTGGGATTACAGGTGTGGGTCCAGCATGCCTGGCTTCCATGCTGTTTTCAGTAATTGCTGTACTAACATACATTCCCACCAACAGTGTAAAGTATTCCCATTTGTCTATATCCTGGCTGGTACTTGCTACTGGTCTTTCTGATAACAGCCATTCTTAATAGAGTTAGGGGGTATTTCTTTGTGGTTTTTTGTTTTGTTTTTTTGTCTTTGGGGTTTTTTGATCATAGGGCTTGAACTCTGGGCCTGGGTGCTGTCCCTCAGCTCTTCAACTCAAGGTGGCACTCTAGCACTTGATCCACACAGTGCCACTTCCAGTTTTCTGCTGGTTAATTGGAGATACGAATCTCATGGACTTTCCTGCCTAAGCTGGCTTTGAACCACGATCCTCAGATCTCAGCCTTTGTGGTTTTTATTTGTATTTCCCTGATGACTAGTAATATTAGATATCTCTATACCTGTTGGTCATTCTTTTTTTGAGAAATGTGTATTTAGATCTATTGCCATTTTAAAGTCAATTTATTGGGTTTTTGCTATTGACTTTTTGAGTTCTGAATTATTTGAATTCTGCTTAATAGCCAGAATATCTTTTTCACATGAAGTTTTTTTGTTTTTGTTTTGCTGGTCATGGGGCTTGAACTCTGAGCTCTTCAGCTTAAGGCTAGCGTTCTTGAGCCACAGTGCAACTTCTGGCTTTTTCTGCTTATGTGGTGCTGAGAAATCGAACCCAGGGCCTCATGCATGCAAGGCAAGCACTCTACCACTGAGTCACCTTCCCAGCCCCAAAGTTTTAATATTTTTTAATTTTTTAAATTTAAAATTGAATAGCTAAAGCAATTTTGAGCATTAGTAGTTTGTCAGAAGTATAGATTGTGGATGTTTTCTACCAGGCTGGGATCATCTCTTCATTGTGATGATGGTTTCTTTGCTGTTCAGACCCTTTTTATTTGATGGGATCCACTTGTCCATTTTTGCTTTTGTTTCTTATGCTTGGGGAATTTTGTCAAAAAAAAATCTTTAAGTATTCCAGTATCCTGACTGACACACTTCCCCTGTTTTCTTCCAGAATTTTCATAGACACAGACATTCCATAGACATTTAAGCTTTTCATCCCTTCTGAGGTTTTTTGTTTTGTGGTTTGAACTCAGGTACTAAGGCTTGTTAGGCAGGTGCTCTACCACTTGCAATATGTTCCCAGGCCTTTTTGCTTTATTTTTCAAATAAGATTTCATGTTCTTGTTTTGTTTGCATAGATTAGCCTAAACTGCAATCCTCTTATACTTTCTACCATAGCTTGGTTGACAAGTGTGTGCCACTACATCCAGCTTTTTCTGCTGAAATGGGATCTTGTGAACATTTTTACCCAGGTTGGCTTTAAAGTGCAGTTTCCCCCAATCTCATTCTCCAAGTAGCTACGACTACAGATGTGAGCCACTGTGTTCAGCTCCTTTTGAGTTGATTTTCATAACTAATGAAAGATAGGGTCTACTTTTACAGCATTTTTTGTTGGAAATATCGTTGTCTCCAAGGTGTTCATGGCACCTTTGTCAAAACTCAGTTGGGGGGCTGGGAAGGTGGCTCAGTGGTAGAGCGCTTGCCTTGCATGCATGAGGCCCTGGGTTCGATTCCTCAGCACCACATAAGCAAAAAGAAAAAAGCCGGAAGTAGCACTGTGGCTCAAGTGGTAGAGTGCTAACCTTGAGCTGAAGAGCTGAGGGACAGCGCCCAGGCCCGGAGTTCAGGCCCCACGACCAGACCCCCCCCACCCCCCCAAAAAAAAAAACTCAGTTGGCTGTGGGTGTGTGGATCTCCTGTGTGTGTGTGTGTGTGTGTGTGTGTGTGTGTGTGTGTGTGTAGTGTGCTACTCCCCTCCCCACCACCAATACACAGACACCTCAAGATTGATCTCATAGTTCAATTTTAAAAGATCCTACCTAATATAGTTTATAAAGGATGATATATCAAGGAGCAGCATTCTAAAACCCTGCCTTTATTTTCTCATAACAAAACCTGGGAAATCAGAAATCACTTGATGCATGGTAGGAGCCAGGGTGAGACCCTGGAGACCTCCCGAGAAGGTTACTTTAAACCTAATGGGCTGTTCTTGCAGCACAGGCTCTTATAGTTAAATGTCACCTAAAGGCAACACAACATTTACCTGATCTAGGACTCCGGAGTTTCATACTCTGAAAAAGAAAGGAAAGGGAAAAGAATACATATATACATTATATAAAATCAAAGCATTAAATTGCATTTTAAGCAATAATAATTCATATAGTTATGTTAACTTATAAGCATACTGAATCATAAAAAAACATTCTTAGTTGTATTCTTTGTTGTTGTTGCCAGTCCTGGGGCTTGATCTTCTGGGGCTTGATCTCAGGGCCTGGGCACTGTCCTTGAGCTGCTTTTGCTCAAGGCTAACACTCTACCAATTGAGCCACAGCACCACTTCCGGCCTTTTCTATTTATGTGGTACTAAGGAATCAAACCCAGGGCCTCATGCATGCAAGGCAAGCTCTCTACCACTAAGGTACATTCCCAGTCCTCTTAGTGATTTTTATATCACATAGCAATTATTCCTTAATTGACCCCTGCTGGTATTTCTTTTCCTTCTTCAATTATGCCTCTAAAAGTTTATTTGAAATTTTAGTTACTTCATGACATTAGAAAAAGAATGATTGTCTTACATGTGTGCATTTATTAAAAATAACACTACAGCCGGGCGCCTGTGGCTCACGCCTATAATCCTAGCTACTCAGGAGGCTGAGATCTGAGGATCACAGTTCAAAGCCAGCCCAGGCAGGAAAGTCTGTGAGACTCTTATCTCCAATAAACCACTAGAAAGCCAGAAGTGGCACTGTGGCTCAAGCGGTAGAGCGCTCACCTTGAGCTGAAGAGCACAGGGACAGCACCCAAACCCAGAGTAGGCCCACAACTGACCAAAAATAAATAAATAATAACACTACATTAAAATTATGATTTAAAAGGTGGCAGAAGCTGGGCGCTGGTGGCTCACACCTGTAATCATAGATACTCAGGAGGCTGAGATCTGAGGATCATGGTTCAAAGCCATCCTGGGCAAAAAAATCCCTGAGTCTCTTATCTCCAGTTAACCACCAGAAAACCAGATGTGGCACTGTGGCTCAAGTGATATAGGGCTCACCTTGAGCTGAAGAGCTCAGGGACAGCCCCCAGGCACAGAGTCCTAGGACCAACAAAAAAAATAAAAAATAAAAGGTGTTGGGGCTGGAAAAGTGGCTCCGTGGTAGAGTGCTTGTCTTGCATGCATGAGACCCTGGGTTCTATTCCTCAGCACCACATAAGCAGAAAAAGCCAGAAGTGGCACTATGGCTCAAGTGGTAGAGGGCTGGCCTTGAGCTGAAGAGCTGAGGGACAGCACCCAGGCCTAGAGTTGAAGCCCCATGACTGACAAAAAAATAGTTAAATAAAAGGTGGTGGATATTTCCTATAAGCATTGCAACTCTAAGAACTTATTTAATCCATTTAATTATCTCTGAAATTTTAAAAGTTTGTCTAAAGAATGCACAAAAATGTATATCAGATTTTTTTGCATATTTTTCTTCTAGACACAGGAAATATCATTCCAAAAGGTTTATCTTAAATGATATGTATATATGTAACCACACTACATTGTCCCAGTTAACATGACACAGCCCAGAAAGGACTACAGTCTATTAAATCCAAAATAGTCAACTCAGAAAAAAGTTATTGACCTTGCTTGGCCTAAGTCTCACAGAGTCACCAAAACTCTTTGATTCAGAGGTTCCGTTCCATTCCAGTGATGTGCCAAACTTGACCTTCATGGAGGGAGCGCGGGATGTGGGAACACTTGATGGGGATTCTGGAAGAGAGTAAATGTGGTCCCGCTCTTAGAAGTGGTGCCAGTTGTATGTGCTCATCCTTAGCACACACTCCTGATGAGACCTGAGCAGTACTAGGTACTTTGTACTTGCTCAGCTATACTCACCAGCTTCTTCAACCACAATAAAAGACTCTGGCGTCCGTGCGGGAAGTGGTGGGGGTGTCTCATCATCTGCCCTGGGAGAAGGTGCTATCCAGTTGCCAACAACAGAATCAAAATTTTTAATCAGAGCAACACAAAGGAAAGCCTTATATGCTAATCTAACCCTAAATATAAGTTTCAGAGAATTTATAATTAAATTCCATTCATCATTAACAAAACTTTAGCTGGGATTTGTTCACTCAAGGGAAAGATAAAGTTGGCGCTTGGTACAAACCCAGGAGGTTTTAACTATTTTTCAAAATGTATCACTTGCTTTACAAGCTCAATACTTTTTTTTTTTTTTTTTTGGTCAGTTGTGGGTACTGAACTCTCAGCTGTTTTCTGCTTTTTGTGGTGCCTCATGCATGCAAGGCAGGCACTCTACCACTGAGTCAACTTCCCAGCCCCATACAATGCTTTCTTTGGATCATTTTCTACACCACTCTTTCCTTTTATAGAGAACACACACACAGTAATAGTATGACATGGTTTTCTTTTTCTTTTTTTTTTTTAATTGGTCATGGGACTTGAACTCTGGACCTAAACGCTGTCCCTCAGCTCTTCAGCTCAAGGCTAGCGCTCTACCACTTGAGCCACTGTGCCAGTTTGTTTTCTGAGTGGTTTATTGGAGATACTAGTCTCACAGACTTTCCTGCCAGGCTGGCTTTGAACTGCGATCCTCAGATCTCAGCCTCTGAGTAGTTAGGATGACAGGCGTGAGCCACTGGCTCCCAGCTAACATGGTTTTCTAAATATAAAAAATACTCAGAAATTGCACAGGAAATCCAAGATGCTATTATAAGAAATGGCCACCAGGGGCTGGGAAGGTGGCTCAGTGGTAGAGCGCTTGCCTTGCATGCATGAGGCCCTGGGTTCGATTCCTCAGCACCACATAAGCAGAAAGAAAAAAGCAGGAAGTAGCACTGTGGCTCAAGTGGTAGAGTGCTAGCCTTGAGTTGAAGAGCTGAGGGACAGCGCCTAGGCCCAGAGTTCAGGCCCCACAACCGGACCCCCCCCCCTCCCAAAAAAAAAGGCCACCAGAAGGCACATAGGTCAGAGTTACTAACACCAGTGAAAGTAAGAATTGTAAGCAGGGAGCTAGTGGCTCATGCCTGTAATTCTAGTTACTCAGGAAGCTGAGATCTGAGGATCATAGTTCAAAGCCAGCCTGAGCAGGAAAGTCCGGGAGACTTTTTTTTTTTTTTTTGTCGGTCGTGGGACCTGAACTCTGGGCCTGGGCGCTGTCCCTCAGCTCTTCACCTCAAGGCTAGCACTCTACCACTTGAGCCATAGCACCACTTCTGGCTTTTTTCTGCTTCTGTGGTGCTGAGGAATCGAACCCAGAGCCTCATGCATGCAAGGCAAGCACTCTACCACTGAGCCACCTTCCCAGCCCTGGGAGACACTTATCTCTATTTAACCACCAGAAAACTGGAAGTGGCACTGTGGCTCAAAGTAGTAGAGCACTAGCCTTGAGCTGAAGAGCTCAGGGACAGCACCCAGGCCCAGAGTTCAAGCCCCATAACTGGCAAAAAAAATAATAAGTAAGTAAAATAAATAAGTAAGTAAAAATCCACACAAAATACTGAACAGATTCTCTCACCTACCAAGTTACTACAAAAGAACAAGAAGTCAGGCCCTACCCTTCTTTCTGCAGGAAAAGAATTCAGTGCTTAGCAATATGTTCACCTCATGATGGCCACAGTTATTCAACTAAAATTTTAGGTGACCATGTAGTGCTGTTAATCAGGTGTTTTCATTCTACTGTGCTTTGGAAGTTGCTTCTGTATGTTATAGGAAAATCGTGGGCTTTTGACAGACATTTTTAGAATGAAGATTGCCTTCTTAGGAGCCCTCCTGGAAGTGGCGCTGTAGCTCAAATAGTAGAGCGCTCGCCTTGAGCTGAAGAGCTGAGGGACAGCGCCCAGGCCCAGAGTTCAAGCCCCACGACCGACAAAAAAAAAAAAAAAACAGGAGCCCTCCTGTTGGCCCTGTACCAGATCTGACTGCTTCCAGTGCTGCCTGTTTCATAGGTTATTATATGTTCAGTGTTGGAAGCAAGCGTGGGCAGGAAACTGAGACTCTTATCTCCAAAAATGCTGGAAATGGATCCGTGGCTCAAATGGTAGAGCAGTTAAAAAAAAAAAAAGCTCAGGGACAGCCCTCAGGACTGGCACACACACACACACACAACAAAAGCAAGCAGACTGTCACAATCAACCCACCTACTATGGTTGTCTCCTGACTGGATGGTGTGGAAAAACTGATGTGAGGGTCCCATACTAAAGAATCAGGTGACCGGCAGTGGGACAGGAGGGCTGTGGAGGACCTTGGTGGTGAGGAACCAGGAATCGCAGTTCCATTTTGCTTCTCAGACACGTCCAGAGACATCTTAGAAGTAGCAGAACTTGGAGGCAGTGATGAAAAATAAGAAGACGGGTAAAAATGTACACCGAAAGCACCAGAGTCACACCACTTCCCAGTGGAAGTCTCACACCCTCGAAGCTCAGAGTCATGAGGCAGTGAGTAGCTCAGTTCTTCTGAAGAAGCACACTCCATCTTTTGACCCCGCAGCTCCCCAAGACCAGAGTCCTGTGGCTGAGATTCCAAGTAGGAAAAGTTGTCTTCCATGTCCACCTCCATTGTTTTTCTTTGCTCTATCCATTCAAAGGGCGTTGATTTGGTTCGTATCACTGGCCCCTTTGAATTCAGACATCTTCCTGCTTTAGCAACAGATTCAGAATTAGGACATACCCCAAACAAAGAAGAGCTCAACACCAAACTTTGATGCTTCTGAAGAGGCTTCCCAACTGTTGGTAATGCCTTTGTCTGCCAGTTCAAGGCTGAGTTGGCATTTTTATTAGAATCATAATTTAGCTCCAGAAAGTCAAAAGAAAGGCTTGACTTGTCAGGGTGAAGAACTACCTCTGCCCTTGCACAGATTTCTTCAAGGGAAGAAGCTGACACTGTTTCTGTTGTTGTCCTTGGTTTGCTCAGTTGGCTCATGTTGGTTGGTTCTGTGACACTGAAATAGAAAGAGTAATGGTAACCCTACCAGGTCTCCCCAGTGTCACAGGAAAGAACATGTGGTTTCAAAGGTATAACCTGTACTCACTCTTTTGGTAATTTAGGAGAATAAGAGTCTATTTGCAGAGTGGGATCGTGCTCAGGAATTAAGCATTTTGCGTGAACCTTCAGGAGAAACAAGATTGATTTTTAGTGACGCAATGTCAATGCAATATCATGTATGTGCCAGTCCTGGGACTTGAACTCAAGGCCGGGGCTCTATGCCTAAACCTTTTTGCTCAAGGCTGGCACTCATGGTTAGCTTTGAACTGTTACTCAGCCTTCTGAGTAACTAGGATTATAGTTCTGAGCCATCAGTGCCAGACTTGAAATTTTTTTTTTTCCTCAGTTGTGGGGCTTGAACTCTGGGCCTGGGCGCTGTCCCTCAGCTCTTCAGCTCAAGGCTAGTGCTCTACCACTTGAGCTACAGCACCACTTCAGGTTTTCTGGTGGTTTATTGAGATAAGAGTCTCACAAACTTTCCTTGCCCAGGCTGGTTTTTAACCTCAATCCTCAGATCTCAGCCTCCTGAGTATCTAGGATTACAGGTGTAAACCACCAAAGCCGGGAAGGACTTGAAATACTTTAAATATTCAGCTGACCATGAAGTACTTTTTCAGAAATAAAAAAAATTCAGCCTTAAAAAAAAAAGAAATTCTGGGGCTGGGAAGGTGGCTCAGTGGTAGAGTGCTTGCCTTGCATGCATGAAGTCCTGGGTTCGATTCCTTAGCACCACATAAGCAAAAAGAAAAAAGCCGGAAGTGGCGCTGTAGCTCAAGTGGTAGAGCGCTAGCCTTGAGCTGAAGAGCTGAGGGACAGCGCCCAGGCCCAGAGTTCAGGCCTCACGACTGGACCCAAAAAAAAAAAAAAAAAGAAATTTTCAGGGCTGAGAATGAGGCTCAGTGATAGAGTACTTGCCCAGCATGCATGAAGTCCTGGGTCCGATTCCTTAGTTCCACATACACAGAAAAAGCCAGAAGTGGTGCTGTGGCTCAAGTGGTAGAGCACTAGTCTTGAGCAAAAGAAGCTCAGGGACAGTGTCCACCCTGAGACTGGCAAAAAAGGAAACAAAAAACAAAACACTAATCCTTACATAGTCTTCTGAATAGCTAGGACTGCAGGCATGGGCCAGTAATAACATACAGAATTTTTATTTAGCAGTCTTTTTTTTTTATTATTTTACTTAGCAGTCTTTATAAGCAAATATCTGATGAAACATTTGAGATCACAGTAAGGCAGGTCTAACCTGAAAAATCATTCAGGTATGACTTTATCACTCTTCTAACTTGCCAACAATCATATAAAACATAGGATCAGGATATATGCTTGCCCTAAGTATATTGCTCCTAAATTTAGCTGAAAATTGTTAGAAATTAATTTTTAATTTAAACTTCCTCAAATTATCCTTTTCCATAGGAGATTTTTAGTATAGCCCTATGCATGCCTGACACTCCAATTTAGTTGTGACAATAGAAAAGTCCACAGTTCTGAGATCTCTTGAACAAAAACAATTATGAAAAACATGGCATAATATTTAGCTTAAGGAAGTGGCGTTGCGGCTCAAGTGGTAGAGCGCTCGCCTTGAGCTGAAGAGCTGAAGGACAGCGCCCAGGCCCAGAGTTCAAGCCCCATGACCAAAAATAAATAAATAAAAATACTAGCTTAAAGCTTACCTCTCCTCCAGAGCATCCACCTCCAATAACATCCAAATGTCTCTTAAATAGTTCTAATACAGCACTGTAGACCAGTTCATACTGTTCCTGAAAAGAATCACAACCAGAAAAATGGAGAATTTTTTATTTTATTTTTTATTTTTTTTTATTTTTGTCGGTCATGGGGCTTGAACTCTGGGCTTGGGCGACGTCCCTGTGCTCTTCAGCTCAAGGCAAGCACTCTATCACTTGAGCCACAGCGCCACTTCCTGTTTTCTGGTGGTTTATTGGAGATAAGAGTCTCACAGACTTTCCTTGCCCGTGCTGGCTTTGAACCGCGATCCTCAGATCTCAGCCTCCTCAGTAGCTAGGATTACAGGTGTGAGCCACTGGCGCCCAGCTAGAAAATCTCTTTTAAACTCTGGGAAAGCATCCATCAGATACTAAGAGCAGACAAGGGACGTGGTCAGCATAAGTCATTAAGCTGTATAACAATGTTCTACGTAGCCCATTCTACATGACAGTATGCCTTTAGACTGCTAAACAGCTAAGTATTTTATTTAACTGTAGCTAGCTAATGTAAAAATCTAATGGCATGGGCTGGGAAGGTGGCTTAGTGGTAGAGCGCTTGCCTTGCATGCATGAGGCCCTGGGTTCCATTCCTCAGCACCACATAAGCAAAAAGAAAAAAGCCAGAAGTAGTGCTATGGCTCAAGTGGTAGAGCACTAGCCTTGAGCTGAAGAGCTGAGGGACAGCACGAAGGCCCAGAGTTCAAGCCCCACGACCGGACCCAAAAATAAAGATAAAAAATAAAAATAAAAAAAGAATATCCGGGCACTCCCATGGCTCACACCTGTAATCCTAGCTACTCTGGAGGCTGAGATCTGTGGAACCAGACACCCCAGGCAAGAAAGTCCAACCACCTAGTAAAGAGCCAGATGTGAAGCTGTGGCTCAAGTAGTAGAGTGCCAGCCTTATGCAAAAACGCCAAGACTGAGTGCAAGATCCTGAGTTCAAATCCCAGTACTGGTACAATATACAAACACAACAATCTAATAAATTTTCTAAAGGTGTTCTTAGCAGAACAATGTAACATCTATATCAACCAAAACTGTCATGCTTTAAACTTTTTTTTTGAATATTCAGACAGGAAGCACTCCTCTGGCTAGACTGCCATTTTGTGGTTACAGTGGTATCAGAAAAAGAAGCTACAACTATTGAGATATCTGTTCATCTAGTCACTGATAATGCCAAAATCTGAGGTCTTGTTCAGCTGTCTTCAAATCCTAAAAGGAAGGAAGCAATGGAATTTTTTTTTCCAAAATGGTATGGTTTTATTAGTTTACTATTACAGTTTGCATACCTGGGCTACATACTTCCTGGAGTCTTTACATATTTACAATGATCATCTTTTCAGTCTTACAGCACTAAAGCAGCTAATGCTTTCACCTCACATAAACTTCCTCCTACATGCTGAATACATAAACTGCCTGCAAGGCTGTGAGCACATGGGGGAAAAAAGTATTTTTTTTTCCACTGTAAAGTATTTTTTCCCAAAGCTATGTGGGGCAAAGAGATAACTTTTGCATTATTAAGTGTTCATTTTCCCTTTGATTCACAATTTCTAGATTAAAATATTTCAGTTGCCATTATCAGGTGCTCACTCTGTAAACCTAGGTACAAGTTTATTTACAAGAGCTTGCAGTCTGTGGAGAGGATTAGTGGTAGATTGCTTGCCTAGCACATGCCAGGTCCTGTGCTCTGTCCTCAGTACTCCAAAAGAGAAAAAAAGGGGGAAAGAAAGCTCTTGAAACACTTACCTATATGACTGTTCATTTATTTTGTGCCATTCCTGGGGTTTATACTCACATGCTCAAATCTGTTTGCCATAATCCTTACCTGAGTTTGAACTAATGAAGGCCTCTGTGTTCTCATTTCTTGGATCAAATTAAAGATGCTGAAGTTCTCTGGAATTATCTATCAAATAAGAAGAGAAAATACTCCTTTTTTTTTGGGTCCGGTCGTGGGGCCTAAACTCTGGGCCTGCGCACTATCCCTCGGCTCTTCAGCTCAAGGCTAGCGCTCTACCACTTGAGCCACAGTGCCACTTCCAGGTTTTTTCTTTTTGCTTATGTGGTGCTGAGGAATCAAACCCAGGGCCTCATGCATGCAAGGCAAGCACTCTACCACTGAGCCACTTTCCCAGCCCAAGGTAATACTCCTTTTTATCCTTGGTGACTAAATCATTGCCACTGTGACATCTTCCTCTCCTAACTGGAATAATGTCAGAGAAAGAACATGTACTTTGTTTTTGTTTTTTTTTGTGTGTGTGTGTCAGTCCTGGGGTTTGAGCTCAGGGCCTGGGTACTGTCCCTGTGCTTTTGTGCTCAAGGCTAGCACTCTACCACTGGAGCCACAGCTCCACTTCCAGCTTTTTGTCAGTTAATTGGAGATAAGAGTCTCACAGACTTTCCTTCCCCAGCTGGCTTAGAGCCATGAGTCTCTGGGATTATAGGTGTGAGCCACCAGTGGTTTATAATCACTTGTTTCATGATTTAGAGACTGGTATTTTCCTTAGAATAGATTGAAGAAACTCTGCACAGTGATTTCACATGGTAGGGAGGGCAGGTCTGATGTCCAGAACTAAAAATGAACAAATGTTCAGTAGATAAGCAAATATGAAAATTTAAATAAATGAGCAGATAAAGTCTAAAGCCCACTTGTTACAACTTCCCATTTCCTAACCCACAATAGCCGGGTGCTGGTGGCTCACACATGTAATCCCAGCTACTAAAGAGGGTTGTGGTTCAAAGCCAGCCCAGGCAGGAAAGCCTGAGAGACTTTTTTTTTTTTTTTTTGATCGGTTGTGGGGCCTGAACTCGGCCTGCACGCTGTCCCTCAGCTCTTCAGCTCAAGGCCAGCACTCTACCACTTGAGCCTCAGCACCACTTCTGGGTTTTTCTGTTTATGTGGTGCTGAGGAATCAAACCCAGGGCCTCATGCATGCAAAGCAAGCACTCTGCCACTGACCCACCTTCCCAGCCCCCTAAGAGACTCTTATCATCAATAAACCACCAGAAAACCAGAAGTGGCGTTGTGGCTCAAGTGGTAGAGCACTCGCCTTGAGCTGAAGAGCTGAGGAACAGCGCCCAGGCCCAGAGTGCAAGCCCCACAACTAACAACAACAACAACAAAAAAGATTTATTAATTAAATCTCAAAGTTTGTCATATGTTGAATCCATCTGCTAAAGCAGTATGGATAAAGACCGTGCAGATAACAATGTAATTTAGGGCAGTGCTCTCAAACTTTAGGAAGTACCCAACTCACCCAGAGAGCCTGCTGGACCTCCAGAACTACTGGATTAATTCACAGGTAAGGCCCAAAATATGTATTTTTAGGAAATTCTCAGGTTCTGATGATGCTTTTTGTCTGTGGACCCTACTTTACCATTCATTCTAGGGATCAAATTCAGGGCCTAATGCAAGTGTGACAAGCCTGCTAACACTGAGCTGCTAGACCCATCATCTTGGAAATGAGCTGAACCATCTGATAGAATGGGCCTACAAGTGAATTTTCTAAAAAAGATGAACCATCGGGGAGGGGACTATTCCTAAGGTTGAAAGCAACACAGTAAGCAAATAGGAAGTCCTTGCTGAGAGAAACTCACTCCATCCTTTAGCAACATCCATGTATAATCAACAGCACAAATGACGCCAGTCCTTCCACAGCCAGCACTGAAACAGATCACAGTACCATGAGCACTTGTAAAGATTAGCTGGGCAATTCCACCCACAGATTTGTGTGTGTGTGTGTGTGTGTGTGTGTGTGTTGTGTGTGTGTTGTGTGTGTGTGTGCGTGCGTGTGTTGCTGGTACTGGCGCTTGAACTTGGGGTCTCACATTCTCATTCTCACTATTTGTTCCGTTCAAGGCTAGTGTTCTACCATTTGAGCCAACCTCTCACTTCTGGCTTTTTGCTAGTTGGTTGGAGTTAAGAGTCTGCCTTCCCAGGCTGGCTTTGAATCACAATCCTCAGATCGCAGCCTCCTGGGTAGCTAGGATTACAAGTGTGAGCCACCCGGCTTCGTGTAAAGTGTGTGTGCCCAGTAGTGGGGCTTGAACTCTAGGTCTTACACTGTTGCTTAGCATTTTTCACTCAAGGCTGGTGCTCCACCACCTGAGCCACAAGCTCCACTCAACAACAGAGTTGAGGGAAAAAGAAACCTGGAGGCAATGAAACTTCAAATGTTTCCATTTTCCTGAGCAAACCACAACAGTAAACATCAGGCCAGGACTCAAGCAACTTATACAAGTCACTAGAGCTATATTGCTCAAAAGTAACAACAGAAAAACATGAATTTGATGCTCTGGTTACATTTCTCATAGACTGATTCTGCTCTTGACCTTTTCCTGAGCCAGTTCTCAGTGGAAAGTTCACATGCAGCACCCTACCTGCAGTGAATGCAGATGGGAACGTGGTCATTCTCTTGATAACAACGCACATCCCAGATAAGCTCCAGGAGAGGGTCTACAGATGATGGAACATCATGATCTGGCCAATTCTTATAATGAAACTGGTGGATGGTTCGAGTTTCCTATAAAAATGCAGGCAAAGAAGTTATGAGTCTGATTTAATTCTTCATAGCATTTTCTGCCATCTAGTCTGCTTTCTTTTCTATAGATCTCTGGCAACAAGAGTGCTTACGAGAACAATCAGAAGGACAGGAAGTCACTTACTCTCCTCCCCTCTTTTATTTTGCCAGTACTAGGGTTTGAACTCAGGGTCTGGGTGCTGTCCCGTAGCTTTTTATTTGTTTTGAACTCTGGGCCTGCGCTCTGTCACTGTTCAAAGCTAGCACCTCTTACCCCTTGAACACAGCTGCTTTTTTTGTATGGGTTTTTGTTGCTATTGTTTTGTTTTGTAAATAAGAGTCTCACAGACTTTCCTCCAGGGCTCGCTTTGAACTGCAAATAGCTAGGATTATAGGCATGAGTCATCCACTCCTGGCTTCTGTTTAAATGGAGATAAAAGTCTCGAAGGAGGGCTGGGAAGGTGGCTCAGTGGTAGAGTGCTTGCCTTGCATGCCTGAGGCCCTGGGTTCGATTCCTCAGCACCACATAAGCAAAAAGAAAAAAGCCGGAAGTGGCGGTGTGGCTCAAGTGGTAGAGTGCTAGCCTTGAGCTGAAGAGCTGAGGGACAGTGCCCAGACCCAGAGTTCAGGCCCCACGACCGGACCCATGATCCTCAGATCTCAGCCTCTAATGAATAGCTAAGATTACAGGCATGAACCCAACTCACTTACTGCTTTCTTATTCCAAATATCCCTATTTACAAGAAAGGTAAATATGGAAATAGTCCAAAGCAAAAATCTTCCCTAATAGTTTATCTCATATGGTCATGGACAGGCTGACATTAAATCCCTCTCCTTAGAAAGGGCAAGATAGGATCTAAATCAGCCCAAGCCCCTAAATTGGTCCCCGGTCTATTCCCGGTTCATCCTATGAATATTATCATTTTTATGTATGCATGATGTGGGACAGACCAGAGAATACAGATTACTCTATTACCTTTGAATATGAAGGCTTATTTTTTTGGGGGGGTCCAGTCGTGGGGCCTGAACTCTGGGCCTGGGCACTGCCCCTCAGCTCTTCAGCTCAAGGCTAGCGCTCTACCACTTGAGCCACAACACCACTTCCACCTTTTTTCTTTTTGCTTATGTGGTGCTGAGGAATTGAACCCAGGGCCTCATGCATGCAAGGCAAGCACTCTACCACTGAGCCACCTTCCCAGCCCCTGCTGTAGGCTTTTGAGCTTACCATGTATATATATATATATATATATATTTATTTATTTATAAAAATACTGTACAGAGGGATTACAGTTACATGAACAAGGTAATGAGTCCATTTCCTATTGAGCATTGTTACCCCTCCTTTGTTTTTCCTCTACCATCCCTTTCTTCCCCCAACTCCTCCCCCCTCATCCACCCCCCCAGCTTACCATTTCTAATCTACACTTACGCTATTGAACTTGGCTTTTAGTGTTCTGATCATATAATCAGACTTCCTTTTTTCAGCTTCCTAAGAAGAAGAAGATTGAAATATTAATAATTTCAAAGATAAGCTTTCTCAGAAGATCCTAGAACAAACATCAATCATACTTACACAGGATATGGAGAAAGGACCAAATTCCAGCTGTATCTCACCTGGCTCCGCCCAGTAGCGCTCACACTTTTTCTGTAACACAAAACCAAACAGTGATTTCTCTCAACATAGTCTAGACCACTTCTGGGTTTCTGGTGGTTTATTAGAGATATGAGTCTCACAGACTTTCCTGCCCAGGCTGGCTTTGAACCACAATCCTCAGATCTCAGCCTTCTGAGTAGCTAGGATTAAAGGCGTGAGCCACCGACGCCTGGCTTTTTTTTTTTTTTTTTAAGTATACTGGGAAAGTATATAAAAGAGGCCCTTCTTGTTGAAAAGCTTTTAGGACTCATTCCTCACTTGAACTAAGAAGATGATATGATTTTTACCCAGGTACACTTACAGAAAGTCCAGCTTCCAATTTTTCCTTCTTCCTTTACCTTTAGGTCTCTAGGTGCTAGGCAGCCACTCACCTTTCCCATTTCAAACTCCATGCAAGCCATAACAATGACCTGGGGAGGAAGAGTAAAAGAGAAAGAAACCGGCATATCTGCACAGGTAGAAAGGACACATGGGCCCTGAGTCAGAAGGGTTTCATCACTGTTTTTCTGTTTTGTTTTGTTTCTATAGCAAAAGAGAAATCCTGGTGACTGATAAAATGTTTCTCTTATTCTTCCTTTTTCTGTCCTCACTTCCTTTTATTTTCTCTATTCAAGTCAGCAAATTCTTGTTAGCAAAAGAGCTTGTCAAGGTATAAACTTTCGTTTCCTTGAACTAGAATGACATTTGAATAAAACATGCCTGGTCCTGAAATTCCGCCCACCAATAAGAAAAGCACTAGTTTTAATGGATGAGAAAGCTCAAGCACATCCTGATATCCCTAAGATGTCATCTCTTTGTCCTTAAGAATCAGGAGATGAAGCGTGAGCAGCAACGCTGTCTTACCAGGACGCCATATTCCCACACCATCCTCCAGAAGTCCAGAAGGGTTGTGCACAGAGGACCCTGTGTGGCGATGTAAGCCTTTGGCTCATAAACTCCCTGAAGGGGAACAGAAATTGCATGAAGTGAGTACTGAAAATACCTTCCTCTCAGTTCTCTTCCCAACCCCCTTCTTCAGGTTTGTAGAGAACTATCAAATGATTTGATTTCACAGTACCTTTATGAAGTTGGCATTGATGTAGCTGGAATCCTCATCAGAAGTTAGCAGGGACAGCTCTACCCGGCTATGATCATCTGAAATACAAAAGAACAACAGTGTAATTAAGAAGGCTGACATAGAAGGTTCAGTCAGGGCCTAACTCTATGAGTGTTTGGTGACAGAGAGCAAATGAATGAACGAATGAATGAATCATCAATGGTACAATTATCAACAGTACAATCTTTTTTTTTTCCACCAGTCCTGCGGCTTAAACTCAAGGCCTGTCCACTGTCCCTGAGCTTCTTTTGCTCAAGGCTAGCATTCTACCACTTGAGCCACAGCGCCACTGCCATCTTTTTCTGTTTATGTGGTACTGAGGAATTTGAACCCAGGGCTTCATGCATGCTAGGCAAGCACTCTACCACAAAGCCACATTCCCAACCAATAGTACTATCTTTGCAATCACAAATAGTACATTCTGATCTGCTGGTTAAATATATGTGGTTGAAACAGGGCTCACGCCTCTAATCCTACCTACTCAGGAGGCTGAGATCTGAGGATCACAGTTCAAAGCCAGCCAAGGCAGAAAAGTCCTGGTGAGACTCTTTATCTCCAATTAATTACTCGAAAACTGGATGTGGCACTGTGGCTAAAAGTGATAGAGTGCTAGTCTTGAGTAAAAGAGCTCAGGCCCTCAGCGCCCAGACCCTGAGTTCAAGACCCCAGCTAAAAAAATAAAAAAAAAAAAAAAGGAAAAAGAAAGAAAAGATAGATGATTGAAATTCAGAGAAAGTATAAGTTTAGAGGGAAAAATGGAACTTACAGGGCAAAATATCCTTATATCTATTTTTCTTGAAATTCTTGGGTCTCTGAGCCACAGTAGTGGGGTAGGTTTTGTCTGCCTTGTACTTGGTGGACTGCGTTTTCAGCTTCTGTAATAAAATTCCAAGAACAGTTAGTTTTACTAAATAAAGGAGGTAAAAGGCTAATGCTAGAGAGCTTTCTTTCTCCACTTTCTTTTTTTTGGGGGGTGGGGGGGGGCCGGTTGTGGGGCCTGAACTCTGGGCCTGGGCGCTGTCCCTCAGCTCTTCAGCTCAAGGCTAACACTCTACCCCTTGAGCCACAGCACCACTTCTCGCTTTTTTTTTCTGCTGCTTATGTAGTGTTGAGGAATTGAACCCAGGGCCTCACGCATGCAAGGTAAGCGCTCTACCACTGAGCCACCGTCCCAGCCCTCTTTCTCCTCTTTCCAAACACTGCAGCTCAAGTCTTTTAGCATCCTCTGGGGTGTACTGCTTTCAGAGCAGGGCATCGGAACAGCAAGTAAAAGGAGAAGTAAAAGATCACAATTTTTGCAGCTGAGCCACAGATAACAAAAACTTAAAGGTGAAACTGGTAAGTATTTAAGGAAGCAAATACCTTCTGAAAGCAAGCTAAATGTTCCACCTAACCAGCAGACACTAAAACTTGATTTATTTTCCTTACAGCGGCTCTGCACTACACTAGTCAACAGGAAAGTCAATAAGTTCCATCAGTCTTTTTACTGATGACTTTTTTTTTCCTAAATGGAAATGAAGCTAAAGCAAACTCTGTCTACATCTATTGAAATGCAAATGTTTCCATTCCACGGTTTTTGGTTTTGGTGCCAGTATTCAGGCTTGAATCCAGGTCCTCCGGGCTCATGGCTGGTACTCTACCACTTCAGCCCAGCCTCAAATAATACTCTTAATAGCATCTGGGACAGGCAGGAAATAATTCAACAGTACTGAACAGGAGTCCTCATGATAATAAAGTAATTTCCTTAAAATGATTCCCATTTTCTAGTACTATACTATGGAACAAAACTTAGGTTAGCCGGGCACTAGTGGCTCACGCCTGTAATCCTAGCTACTCGGGAGGCTGAGATCTGAGGATCATGGTTCAAAGCCAGCCTGGGCAGGAAAGTCCATGAGAATCTTATCTCCAATAAACCACTCAGAAATCTGGAAGTGGTATTGTGGTTGAAGTGGTAGAGCGCTCGCCTTAAGCTGAAGAGCTGAGGGACAGTGTCTGGGGGCCCTGAGTTCAAGCCCCACAACCGACAAAAAAATAAAAGGAAGAAAAACAACTTGGGTTAGAAGAAGCAATTCCTCTTTGGCTCTATGTTAGGAATTATTCTTGTTCTAAATTTCATCTTGCTCATCGTTCAAAGAAACTATAGGTACTAGAACTAAGTCTATGTGAGACCTGGTCAGTTTCCAAAAGCAAAGGGAGAAAAGCATCTAGGATTATCAATAAAAATATCTGCTTAAGCTAAAAAAAATAATTTTCATCATTTTCCCCACTATTCAGTAGAAGGTTGATTATATGAGAAACATGAGTTTCTCCCATGGGCTACAACCCTGGGCCATCTCAGTCTTTTTTTTTTTTTTTTTTGTCCATCATGGGATCTGAACTCTGGACCTGGGTGCTGTCCCTCAGCTCTTCGGCTCAAGGTGAGCACTCTACCACTTGAGCCACAATGCCACTTCCGGTTTTTTTCTGTTTATGTGGTACTGAGAAATCAAACCCAAAGGCCTCATGCATGTGAGCAAGCACTCTACCACTGAGCCACCTTCCCAGCCCCCATCTTCTCAATCTTTAGCTTCTGTTTTGAAATTTCCTCATTCCTTGGCCCTTATTAGTCTAAATTACATCTTGCTTCTCTTCCTTGTTTGACTCGTCTTTGCCACTTCCCATTATATCCTTTTAGTCCTCTCTTCTGTTCTGTCTTCTGATTGAGAATTACTCCGTTTTAGCATGGTATCCTCAAATCTTAGCTCCAGTGGTTAGCTTTTCAGGAGGCTGTGATCTTGGGATCAAAGCCAGCCTGGGCAGACAACTCAAGAGACAAGTCTTACCTCCACCAACGAGCCAGAGGTGGAGGTGTAGCCTAAGTAATAGAGCACCAGCCTTGAGTAGAAAAAAAGCTAAGGAGCAACCCAAGGCCTTGAGTTCAAGTCCCAGTACCTGTATAGAGTACACACACACACACACACACACACACACACACACACACACACACGCACGCATGGAGACCAAGTGTACTCATGGAAGGCGTATAGGTGCTTGTTGATTTATGTAACTGATTCAGACTTACTTACATTTCAATCCTAACTGTTTGCCTTGTGTTTTTGTCTCCCTTTGGCCTCACTCTCCTTTCTAGTAGAATGGGACTGCATCACTACATCTTGGGAATATGTAATTTATCTTTAATTTTATAAGTCTCATAGCTAAGTGTTTGCCTTGAGTCTCACAGGCAGCTTTAGACTTCAGCTTTTGATCCGCAGATGCTGCACCACAGTTCAAATATAGACTTGAACTCTGGAGAATGCTGGCATTTTGAGTCTTCGAGGACTCTTAGTGTTGGATTAAATGCATTTTGCTTTGTAAGATGGCCACGAGTCTTTAGGGATAAGGGACAGAATGTTCTAGGTTAGGTATAAAGTTTCCCCATGGATTCAGGTCCTGGAGACTGGGCTGATACAAATGGACAGACTTTGGGGGAGTGCATGGATCCTGGGAGCTCTGACCTAATTGATGGATTAACGCCCCAGTGGGCCCATAACACAGTGACAGGACGAGGTAGAGCAGCCTGGTGGAAGGAGGACATTAGAGGTGTGTTCAGAGGGTGTACTCTGTCCAGTTCCTGTCTGTTGATGTCTTTCTACTTTCTGGGACCACGAAGAGAGTAACTGCTCCCCTGTGCTCACTCGGCAGTGATGGCTCAGTATCACTGCAGCCCCGCAGCCAAGCAGCCGTGGACAGAAGCCATGGATAGCTGAGGCAAATCTTTCCTCTCTTAAGCATTCTGCATGGCTCTGATACAGCAGCAACTAATGGACATGCCATCCACAAGTATGACCGATACTTAACTGTAGGGTCTTTCACTTATAGCCAGCTACCAGGGCTGATGCTGATCTTCACTCGTTTCTTTCTCCGCTCATTCATTAGGCATAATTATGTCATCTGTGCTTTGCACATTTTTCCTAAACTCAAAACAATTTCAGAGCTGGGTGCAGGTGGCTCACGCCTGTAATCCTAGCTGTGGCTGAGATCTGAGGATTGCGGTTAGAAGCCTGCCCTGGAAGAAAAGTCCATGACACTCTTATTTCCAATTAACCACTCAAAAAACTGGAAGTGGTTTTGAACTGTGATCCTCGGATCTCAGCCTCCTGAGTAGCTAGGATTACAGGCATTAGCCACTGGCGCCCGGCTTACATAGTTCTTTAGTCTTGCATTTGCATCATGGGTTGAATCCTTCTGGGTTTCCATAGTTGGAGCAGGAAGGGACGCTGGACTGCTATCTGTACATCATATTCGTATACCAAGATAGAAATACTAGTGACCTAATTTAGAAATTTCAGAACATTTAACTAACACCAGGCACATAGGAAACTATACAGTGTTTCTACACTCATTGACCTTACGCACCCTCTGAATGGTCATTTTCACACTGCCATGCAAAGATTTAGATTTCTTGAAGAGAACTTTCTGGAAATCTCCAGAACATATCCCAGAACATGCTCCTTGTCATACTGTGTTCTTGTTGGGTTTTAGTTGTTGTTTTTGCTTTGCTGTAGAATGCTTTCCAAGAATGCTACAGACAAAGTCTTTCCAATGATTTTGATAAAATATCACAGATACAGGCTCTGAATGGGTGTAGTACATTCTTGTTTAGCCTCCACTGAAACCTTCCACAAGGAACAAAATGGCTTTCTCTTTTCCTATTGCTTTCTCTCTCCTGGAGTCCTCAGGCTGGGGACATCATACAGAAAACACCTACAGAACGGATAACCTACTGTGGAAATTCTGAATTTTCCCCTGATGTCAACCCAGGGTCAGACCACGGCAAAGCACTTTTTTTTTTTTAATTCCTCTTCTCTCCCTGCCAGACACCAGGCTCCAGTGCCCAACAGAGAATGGAGCAGTGCAGAGTTGGCAGAGCTGACAGACCACAGTAGTCTGGGGAGAGGTCATTGTGCTAACTCCATAGCATGTACTTGGAATAGGTGTCACTCCCAGAAATCAGGGGAGCCTGAAAATAGGAAGAAAATAGTAGAAGAGAGAAAGTAAAAGTAGCCTAGCTACTCAGGAGGCTGAGATCTGAGAATTGCAGTTTGAAGCCAGCCCAGGCAGACAAATCCAACAGACTTTTATTTCCCACTAACCAGCAAGAAAATGGAAGGAGAGGTGTGCTCAAGTGATAGAGCACCAGCCATGAGCAGAAAAATGTGAAAGTCTGAACCTCTGAGTTCACACCCCAGTACTTCCACACGCCACCATGCAACCTCCCCCCCACCCCCCACACACACTGAAGGAGAAAGCTGGACTATGTGGGGTGGGTTGAAGTTTGGGAAGAAGGGAGGTGGAAGGGTAAAAGGATTTCTCTGCCAGCCAACAAAGTGAGGAATAACTCCCCAGGAGGCGGCACTGTTAGGAACACCAGGGAAGAGTGGCTGAGAGAATGGAGTGGCGAGCTCCTAGATAGGGTGGGATGGGTGGAAAACTAGATTCCCTGTGTGCTCATAAGCTAACTCATTCACTCAGCTTGCAGATTTGCGCCCCTCTCACCAAGAAACTACCACAGATGGGATCCTGGCCTCAAGAAGTCAGGACTAAGCTTTTTGTGTAGGTTGTGGGACTTGAACTCAGGGTTTAGGTGCTGTCCCTGAGCTTTTCTCCTCAAGGACAGTGCACTACAACTTTGAGCCACAGCTCCATTTTGGTTTTCTGGTGGTTAGTTGGAGATAAGAGTCTCACAAAAGAAAGAGAGAGCCGGGCGCCGGGGGCTCCTGCCTGTCATCCTAGTTATTCAGGAGGCTGAGATCTGAGGATTGAGGTTCAAAGCCAGCCTGGGCAAGAAAAGTCTGTAAGACTCTTATCTCCAATAAACCACGAGAAGGGCTGGGAA